AGTGATAAATTACCAAGTCACAACAGTCCGGTAACACTTGAATCAAATATCCCCACTTGTAGGCCCTAATACTTCGTTGAGTCATTCATGTCTCTTCGCTCAGTTCTGAATAAGGCGCTTTTAAATCATTTCAGAGTAGGGACATCATTTTATAGAAATGCGCCTTTAAGCCAGTAGGGGGAAGCAAATAATTCATAAATAGGGATTTAAACGGAAGACGCAAAGCGTTGTGGGTTTGTGGGTACTGTAGTTTAACAGCCGTATATAAATTTCCGGCGAGGCTGAGACACGCTCTCTTTACTCTGCGAGCCTGACACAGACAGGTAATGCCGGGCTGATCTTCCTTATTTTCTTTTCAAAATTACTCACCGTTCGTGCGTTGTGGTTTTTTATTAACATTAAGAAACATGTGTGTAGTAGGGAATCTATCTTCACGCCCAGTATTGTTGTTGGTTACATTAAAGCACGTTTCTCTGCTTATCGCGCGGTGTAACTTAGCGCAACGTGTTTCCATAAGGCTTTTAGGCCTAGTCATGAAGTGATCTCTCATGCTCCTAATTTTTGTTAATTTAATTTTCGCCTAACGTGTAAGGGTTGATTACATGTTTCTTCAAGTATAATTTGAAACCGTATGATAGTATTAATTTTTTGACACGAAGCCTTATGTTGCAAAGATGACGAAACACTGTGCTGGTGAAGTGTTAAACCTTTAAATGTAGTTTATTTTTAATTTACAATGTCAAATAAAATGTTTATTAATTCACAGGCGTCAGTAAGTCGCCATGCCGGTTGCCAGGAGTTGGGTTTGTAGTAAGACATACGTCACCCCCAGACGTCCCTTCGAGAAGTCACGTCTCGACCAGGAGTTGAAACTCATTGGTAAGAACAAAATGAAGGAAACATATTTTTTGACTTCTGTGTCCCTAATGACATTGGTGTAGACATTACATTTTAAATCATTTTTCCCACAGGTGAGTATGGACTCAGAAACAAGAGAGAAGTCTGGCGTGTGAAGTTCACTCTGGCCAAAATCCGCAAAGCTGCCAGAGAGCTCCTCACTCTGGATGAGAAGGATGCTAGACGTCTATTTGAAGGTAGATGAAATGTGACTTGTATCAAACTGAGTGGCCAATGATTAAAATGTTACAAGTCTGATTGTCAGTGCTGCCTAGAATTCCTCGTCAATGAGGCCATTTATTTGCTTTTTAACTTTTATGTTTGGCATTGTCTCCATCCCTTTCTTACCGTTTTATCATCTTATTCTAGGTAATGCTTTGCTTAGGCGTCTGGTGCGTATTGGAGTGCTGGATGAGGGCAAGATGAAGCTTGATTACATTCTGGGCTTGAAAGTGGAGGATTTCTTGGAGAGGAGGCTGCAGACCCAGGTCTTCAAGCTTGGCCTTGCCAAGAGCATCCACCACGCACGTGTGCTCATCCGTCAGAGGCACATCCGGTAAGATTCAGAAGTGTGCTGGATGTCTAGAACCCTCTCAGTTTAGAACTTTTTAACATTGTAAACCATTTACCTGAATATATTGTGCCATTGAGGTTTTCTTCCTCTTTCATTAGCTGACTGTGTTTAAACCTCTTGGTGAGTTGGAATGAAATATTCTGCAAGGTCAATTCGGTGATTATACCGTATACCTTTGCTTGTAATAAAACCCAGAGCTTTCCATGACGTCTGGGGTGCATTGCACAAAACAGTCCACCAGGTAACGTATGTGGGCACTTTGGCAGGTCTTGTACTGTAATGTTGCTACAATTTCTCTTGGCCAGTGATTAAAAACTTTAAACTGTCAGATTGTCGGTGGTGTCAAGAATTCCTCGTGAATGAGGCCTCGAGAGCAGCATCAGTTCTTGAAGTGAAAACCTCAATGCATGTGGCTACATTTTTTTATTTTCCTTGTTCTGCAGGGTGCGCAAACAGGTTGTGAACATCCCCTCTTTTGTGGTGAGGCTGGACAGCCAGAAGCACATCGACTTCTCTCTCCGCTCACCATACGGTGGTGGTCGCCCTGGCCGTGTGAAGAGAAAGAATGCCAAGAAGGCCCAGGGTGGCGGTGGTGGCGGTGATGATGAAGAGGAGGATTAAACTCTTCCCTTTCAGAGGGATGGAGACACTCAGCAGTGCTTGCTTTTGTTTCTCTTCTCCCTCAAATTTTCAATAAAAAAGGTTTATTCCAAATTGTATTTGCTTGTCCTTTTCAAGTAATATTTTGTTCACTAATGTTACATTACTGAATTGCCCATGAGCTTCAACATTTTCTCTATGTGGTTTACCCCTCTGAGGTTTCTAAATGGACCCAATGGTTTGTGTTGCAAGACTTGAGTGTCTTGTGATGAGTTAAAATATTGCTGCAGAATATGATTAGTTCCTACTGAATCCAAATTTGTGAATGAGGTTTCTAGTTAATAAGCTGTACAAAGTGCAGTATATGGTAAAGCTATTTGTGTTACAAATCAGTGTTTACTTAAAGTTTGCAATATAAAGCAATAAAGTCTACATATTTGTATGGTGTAGAAAAAAGGATGGATGGAAAATAATGCATTTTCCCCAATCTGGGCCTGGTAGGCTGAATGCATGTTCTAATCAGATTTATTGGGTCTTGTTGCAGATGAAACTTAAAAACATTTGAAATACATATTTAATCATAGTTGGATGGAAAACTTCAAATCCAGAAATTAAACCCACTGTCACTGGGGTATATTGGGTATAAGCAGCTACTGAATCTACACAATGCCACTTAAAAAACATTCAAATGATATACATATGAAATCTTATATATTTATGATTGCACTTGCAGCTAGTCACAACTTACCTTAATACAAAGTTTTAGTTAAATTATCTATTTCCGTAATTGTGCTTTGCACTCTTTACTGGATGTTAAGCACTTATCTTGAAGTCTTGGAAGTATTTTTTTGTGCTTAGTCCCGAAATAGCGACACATCCTTCATTTATAGTTCATCCTGGGGACTGGTTTGACCTCTCATTTCAGTGTATCCCACTCCGCTTGTCTGTTCGCTGTGAGTGAGGTAAAATTTCAAACTATACACAACTTGTGTGAGAAGCTGTAAGTTGCATTGCACTTAATATCACAGGAAAATTACCAAATATTCCATATATCTTACCTTTCAGCATCCTTTTCCAGTGTTTTAGCAGTAAGGAAAAGAAAAGATGGTCATACTTTAGAAAAAACACAAAATTATGATAAAATATATTATGTCACATGTGTTAAGAGAATATTGGTGTGTTACTGATATTTGCTGACCTTTGGTCGCTGCCCTGCTTGACCACCTGCCTTCTTTGGTACTCCCAAGGTATCGAATGAGTGACTTCGCACTCGAATAGCTCTCTTAAGATGGAAAGGGAGACATAAAGTGATTTATTTGATGCTCATTTTAATGTCAAACAGTAACAATATCAAGGAAGGCCTATTGTATATTGCTCTGAGATTATCTACCTTAAAGTTCTCAATGAATCCTCCACCACCCTCTGGAACACTCCTCCCCCCTTCAGTGAGGGGGACGCTGGGTAGTGACGCCTCTCCCAGCATGCATTGGGAACGGGAAGACAGTTCAGATCGCAGTGCTTCCAAGAGCGATGAACGTGTTCGTGACTGAGACCACAAAATGAGAGAAATAGAAGCACAAGTGTTATAAAATAAGGCTGTGATTTTATAAGAGAATGGTTAGTTCAAGTGTTTTATCTCTGGTTAGTTACCTCTAGTCGACTGAATTTCTCTGCCTTGTAACAAGAGATTTCAGCGTTTATAAGTTTGGTCAAAAGGAACTCTCTTAAAACTGAACCCTGGAAGTAGAAATTCAGAGCATTGTCAGGGACTAATTAAATCATTCACATATGCCAAAGGAAATGTAGTGGGTATGTCATGTTTCTTATTTGAGAGCAAATGGTAAATAATTGTATTGTAACAGAGTTGAAAGCTGCCTTGCTGAAATCTCTGAATTATTACAAGTCATGTGATCTCACCTCAGTAAAAATGGGCGGTGTAGGAAGCGGTGGGCCAAATGGAGGCACATCCTCCCTAGCGGTGATAGATACCTGTCAATCAAACAAGAGATTTTGAAGTACACAGTGAGAGCTGATAAAGCGTTTTAACTCTGATGTTTTTGACAATAAGGTGCTAGATGATACATTAAATTTAATGTATTAAATTGATACATTAAATTTCATTTTTATGATGGGTAAAAACCATGACAAAGTATCCTAAATTTAAACCTAACTGTAACATATTTTTTTCTGATTTACGCTTACTATTATCATCACTTCAAAAAATCTCCACCAATAAAAAAGCTAGAACAACTTTAAGTAAATTGTAAACCTTATTATATTCTACTTATTCTTTTTGGTTCTCTATTTTTTGTATTTTTTATTGAAATATAAATCTGCAAATAAAATAAAATAATGAGTGTCGATAAAGCTAAATGTAGCTTCTTCTTTTTTACCTGAAATGATCCTCCATCTCCACCTTCTCCCTCATTTTCTCTCTTTATTCTCCGCACTGCAATGAAACAATGCAAGAAGTGGGATCTGATCATGTCTGAAATAAAGGGAGTGTGACCCTCTTGGTAAACCAGGGCAACAATATCATTCCCAATGTGTCTCTTTCTCTGCAACTGAGGAGGAAAAACAGAAGAGTAGAGTTGCAATTCAACAGAAAAGAAGACTGATTAAGTTTGTTTTTTATGAAGGATATCCAAGCACTTATTAATCCGCTTGTCTGTGATTGTTCCATTCTGTGTAGTGGTGAGGATTTTAGAGGTTCTTTTAGCAAGTTAAAGTTATATCGATTCACCAATAGATCGGTCACCGTGATTTTCCCAAGTAAGACATGGTCTTGGAATCAACATTCCTGTCCAAATGTGGTCCTTACCCAACCTCAACCCCAACCCCTAAACTTTTCCCTAAAATCAGAGAGTAATAAAAGGTGAAATACTTCACCCTAAGCCTAAACTTGATATAAAGTGTAAACTTGTCCCTCAATTTTGATTGGTTGATTGGAAAGTTCAAAAAGATGTAGATCCAGGAACACGTGGTACTTGGTGAAATCACGTTTCCCCCCAGTGGGCAACAAGAGTAGTGACTTTTTTAGTGAATCATTAATTCATGAACGAATCAGTGACTCAATAGATTCGTTCAACCACACTGATTCAGTCGGGAACCTCCACTACTGTGTGTTGATGGGAGACGCAGATTGGAATTTTTTGGGGAAAATATTTTCATTGCCGATGCAAAAATACATTAAGCAACTATCAATGTTGTGTCTAAAATGTAAGTCACTCAATATTAACTTCTAATGTTAATTTATTGTTGAACTGTTGCTTAAAAGCAAAACATCAGTCGTTAGCTGTTGGTCTGAATGTTAGCATAGATTATAACATGCAGTAGGCTATGTTACAAATTTGGTAAAAGAGGTTAATTGATTATTTTAATTAATTAGAATAAAAAACGACAACACACACATTCATTCAATTTAACCTGTTGTGTATCTCCTTCTGTGAATGGCAGTTTGGTGACAACATGGAACATAATCTCTCGTCCATGGAAGGAAGTAAAAACTGCTTCATTTCCTGTCTGGCCATGAGAGACATCCAGACCTCCCCTGAACCTAAGAGATGGAAAATGTTTATGTTCGTTTGGCAGGTGACAACACATTTCAAAGTAGTGTTTTGTTATTGATTTCGATGCACGTCCTGATTTTATTTCCTAACCCTCTTACCCAGTAAATCCTTGCAGTTTGACTGTCTGTCCGAGTATTGATAAAAACTCCAAAAACTCCTCACTTTCCTCATTGTTAGTGAGAATATCTTCCTCTGTTAACTACATCACATACATTGAAAACAAAATAATGTTACTCTAACAAGAAATTACAAATATCCATTTAGGCTTTATTTGTCAAAACCTAGTCAAACTAACAAAGCTGGCATTAGAAAACTGGTGAACATGTCATCTGAACCGGTGAACAAGGCATATTTTTTGTCTCTGCATACCTGTCCTTCTCTCTGGTATAAGACACCGAATTTAAAGTTTTGAGACACTCTGTGTTCATCAAACGCCATTATGATCTCTGGGGCCTTTAGATGCAGAAAGAAAAGAGATGATGGATGACATTTGCATTAATTGTGTCAGAAACGTTTTTACTTATGGAATTTATCAGTTTATAAAAGAAGAATGACAAGTTAGCACTTCCACCAGATCATAGTACAGACAGATTTGACAAGGGAAGATGTACCTTTAAGTAACTCACAGCCTCAAAAACTGGCACGCTGACACTTGAGCACAGCATCTTAAATAACAACAAATGAAAGCTAATTAAACTTCTATTCACTTTCATTCATATGTGAATCTGGTTGTGGGGTTGTGAGATACCTTTGCCAGCTCCACTGCCGTGGGAAATTGTTGAAAGAGAGAAACAGAGAAAGTGCCATTAATTGAGCACTCCTTCATTCTGATAAAATGGGGGGAAAAAGAAGAAGAAAGAAAACTAATCAGGATGATCTGGTACAGGCGGTTACTGCACCATCATAATGAATTACATGTAAGTTGGGTATAAAATACGAACCTCAAAATGACTCTCAGGCGATTTTCCTCTTCCTCAAGACAAACAGACAAAACTAGGGGCCCAAATAAGGGGTCACAGGCAGTGAACGAATGATGATACTGTAGCAAAGTTGAAAGAAAGGTATACAAATAATAAAAACATTCAAACTATATGTAGAGTTGATTAAGTTTCCAAATGAAAAAAAAAAAGAAAAGAAAACATGATCACTGACTCTGTGTCGGAAGAATTCCTGAAAGACTTTAGCTTCACTATCTCTCTCCATGATGTCATAGCTCTCCAGACCAAATCCCCCCTGTGAGAGAGTAGGACTGGTCTCCACATGTCTATCCAGGGGAGGGTCGATCCAATAACCTCCAGATTTAGGGGGCACGATGAGAGGTAAGCCATCTCCAATCTTTAACAGCCGTGTCTGAGTGATTGATATTAGTGATTATGGGAACTTGATAATATACACTATGGTTCAAAGGTTTGGGGTCAGCAAGAATTTATTTTCTCTTTTTTAAAACTGGCCATTACTCCAGTTGTCAGTGTCATATGATCCTTTAGAAATCATACTAATATGCTCAAGAAACATTTCTTATTTTAGCAATGTTGAAAACTGTTGTGCTGCTTAATATTTTGTTGTAAAATAATTTTCAGGATTCTTTGATTAATAGAAAGTTCAAAAGAACAGCATTTATTTGAAATAGAATTCTTTTGTAACATTATAAATGTCTTTATTGTCCTTGCTGAATAAAATAATTAAATAAAAAATAAAATTCTTACGGACACCAAACATTTGAATGGTATGTTTGAATTTTCTAAGTACAAGTATGGAACATGTACATGTATATCAGGGTGTTTCTTCATCTACGGGCACTTTTAGCCTATTAGAAAATAAACTCTTTTAAATCATGCTTTTTACTCTCTCACTAAATAGATTTTTTTCCTCTAACGATGTATATGTGTGCATCATTAGAAGTTTCATCTTTTTAAAACATAAATTCCACCACAGTGAAACGTACTCGGTTACTAACATAACCTCGGTTCTCTCTAGATGATGGAACAAGTGTTGCGTAAGCTTATGCTTTGGGAAAATCCCTTTTCTTGAATACTGAAGCCAAAAAATGATCCTTAATTTTACATTAATATAAAATGCATTGCTGCACAGAGCAGATCTAGGCGAGGCAGCTACTATTGGTTGCAAGCCTGGTTGCTCTGCAGCAACTCCTGCAACCTATCGTGGGACTGTACCTGATGTAAGCACCAGACACCTGTGCGCGGTGGGACGTGGCTTATGTCTATCTAAGCAGAGTTCAGATAGGGTGTTCTTTGGTTTTTCAAACTGATGGCAGGGTTACGTAACACTCGTTCCCTCATTTAGACAGAACCGAGTTCTCTTACGAGAGTACTCTCATGTTGCGTAAGCTAGCTTACGCTACGGGAATCCAATGTAAAGTGCTGTGTGTGCTAAGGTCATCCACACATGGCCCCAAGAGCATGTGCCCAGGGTACACATAATAGTGGGTAATGACTAGGTGAACGAGGTGTGGGCCTAAGAATATAACACAGCCATATGTATGCCATATGCGCCCCTGGCCTTAGAGAGAAGATATCCGTCCTCACTGGGACGGGGCCGTGCTCACTAACTGCATCAGCTCTGGGAACCAAACCTTGTTTCTTCCAAAGCGGTGCTACGAAGAGCACAGAGCATTTATCCTCCCTGATTCGCTTGATCACCTGTGGCAACAGTGCGATCGGGGGAAACGCATTGAGTGGGTGGCTGGGCCAGCGCGTCCTTGTTTTTTGTGAAAAATACTGGGCAGTGCGCGTTCTCGTAGAGAGCGCCCTAACCTGAGTTGGAGGCGTCTGTCGAGATTACTTTCCGTTTCGAGAACATTCCCAGCTAGGTCTGACTGGTACCAGTCTGACACCTTCAGACTGTAACTTCAGACTTCACCAGGCTGTAACACAGTTCTGGGTTAGCCAACCCTGAGGCGAAAATCACCCAAAGTCCGAGGGTCTGCTCGGGTCTGCTGTGCAGCAATGCGTTTTAAATTAATGTAAAATTATGGATTATGTTTTGGCTTCGGTACGGTCGAGAAAAGGGATTTTCCCGTAGCGTAAGCTAGTTTACGCAACATGAGAGTAGCCTACTCTCATAAGAGAACTTCCACCACGAAGTAGCCTATATACTGTGTATTCTGTGATGAAAATGACATTTCTATTAAAAAAAAGACATTTTAAATGTGACCCTCATTTATAAAAATAATAAAACCTGGTACATAAAAGTGGTTAAAGTTGAAGAAACACTCCTTATGATTTGCTCAAAAAATTCTCTATAGACTGAAACTTTCACATAAAACAAATAGTTTTGGGTAACCAACACTCATTTATATTTTTATAGGTAAAAGTAAAACCCCTACCTTGAGAGGTGGTGGGAACTCACAACGTTGTTCATCCAATCTGCTACCCTGCAGACAAACACAACCATAGTGAAATCATCATCATTGCAACTACACTGTATTTACACAACACTCTGAAAACAAATGTGGAGAGAAAAGATCATGACGTTACCTGTAGCTTTTCAATGATTGCAAACAACTCAGTGACCTGCAGAGAAATGACGAGGAAATGACAGAAGCAGTGAATGTTTCAGATAATGCACCCTGCAAGGTGTAATCAGAATATTATCAAAATACTGTAAAATGTCATTTGTCCAGTTTCCATGATGCAATTACTATCTCCATAGTTTCATTTTCAACATATTCAGAACGTCTAAAACGGGAGATTTCTTACCTTCTGACTGGACGGTGCAGAAGTGAGTGGCTTAGCCTCACTGGAGGGGGAATCCAAAATATCCAGTATGCTGTGACTCACAGATTCTGCACAACTGTAACACACAGAGAAAAGTGTCATGGAAAAGTCTGCGTGCGATAACTGAGTTCAAACACCTGAGAACAGCAACAAACCCAAACTGTAAACTGACCTGCTCTCATTTCCAGTGATGAACTTGTCAATCCTGTGAACAGAATAAAGATGGAACTAATTCAGTCAACATTGTATTCAAATTACAGTAGTGACTGAATGCTTTTTGCCTTATTCACTCACCCTCCGTAAGCTCCGAATGTGAAACTTCTTTTTCTGGAGAACAACTTCTCGTTTCTCCCCTCCATGGTAAGTGTTTATTACAGACAGCCACAGAAATATGCTAACCAGGCATGCAGGCCATCACTCCTGATAGGGAATTAACTGCTTCTCTGTCTGTCTGTCTGTGTGTGTATGTGTATCTCTCTCTCTCTCTTCTCTCTGCCCCCTGCTACTCTCTCATTTAATCTCTCCTTACATCCTTCCTTGTCTCCTGCTGCCTTTTGACTGACAGGAGTAACTCTTGCATGCCCATCCCCTGCCACTGACATCAGAGGTCGGTGAACTATTGCACATACAGACCAACTAAAATGCTTTGAATAGATACAATGCTGAATATTTGCTCGCTGAAATTGTCTTAAATTGTGTGTGTAGCATTTATACAGGCTACATGAATGGGCAATGGACTACTGCTATAGACCTGTTACCCTTTCAGTAAGCAAGATTCATCAATTATTGACCAAACTCTCTTAGAGAGAGGAGGCAAGGCAGCAGGGGAGAGAGGGAGGGAGCATGAAAAAGAGGAAGAGAGAGTGAGTGAGAGAGAGAGAGGCTTAACCAACGAGAGAATAGAGAAATGAAAAAGTGATGTTGAGAGGGGGCAGACACTCAAATAAGGCACTCACTTTATTGGTTTATGTTTTAAAATTGTAAAGGCATACCATTTATTTACATATTACTTTAAACATACAATGGAAATCTCATACAAAGTCATTACAATGCATTTTATATGCATTTTATATTTTGGAACTGCAGGCGGTTCATGGGTTTATGTCAAATCATACAAATATGACATTAAAAAATATTTTAAAATAAAACACTTTCTAAAAAATATTACATTTCATTTTTGTGACTGCATATCATATCATGTTAACTGACATGAGAACATACAGTCACTAGCATAGACCACTTGAAGGAGTGAATGAAAATGAATGAGCGAATTCGGACTGCTGCTTTTTCGATTCAAACTCAATTTGCTTAGTTCCAAAACATACATACATAAGTTTGGAACCCTGACCCTAAACGTCAGCAATAGCAGTAATCAACAATGAGCAAAAAATGCATTGTATGGTATTGTCTTTTTTTATATATATATATATATATATATTCAAAACTATATTAATCCTGGCCGATATGTGAATTACTGACCTATGGAGAAGTAAAACCATAACTGCTTTTTTTTCTTTTCTTTTTATAGTTCCTTATTCTTATATTATATACATTTTAGCAACATAATGCTTTGTAACATGTCATGTTTCTACCCAACACACTGTCCTTACGTATTTAATTTTGTAATTGAGACATGGCTTCTATAAGTTCTTAACTTATGTGGCTTTCTGGAATACCAGATGTAAAACAGCCAGGAAACAGGACAGAACCTCTTCTTCACAGAAAACACGCAATTCATCGATTTTCTGCTGTGTTGCTTCATTCATTCTCAGGTAATTCCAGTAGAAATCTCTGGGTTCGCTACCATTCTTGTGGTAGTGTCTAAACACCATGACGGCCCTGTCAGAGATGAAGCCTTTTGTTTGTTTTGCTACCCTGTTTAAGATGTACATGTAGGCCTGAACTTGATAGCAGTACTCATGTGTTTCATTAAGGACTGCAAAACGACCACCATTTTTTGGTTTAGTGAAGACTTTTCTTATCATGTCTCCAGTGGTTCCTTTACACTCAATCACTATTTTTTCTCCTTTTTCCCCTTTTACGTCTGCTAAGAAGTCTAGTCTTCCAGTGATGAATCCGAACTCTACTTTGTTACCTTTGGTGTACCTCACTGTCCTGTTTGTTTGCAGCTCATGGTAGAACTTCAGGCATTCACGTTCATCTGCTGGGTTCTGGAAATATTTGCCGAAGCTTTGAGGAGAGGAGGTCTTCCAGAGAGCTGACTCGTCACAATAGTCTCTGTTCTCAATGTCACGGATATTTACTTTCACACCCTCAGAAATGTTTGCAAGATTGTCTCCAACTTTTGACTGACTCATGCTCCTTGTCTGTGTTGTAGCGTATTTAGCGGGTGTGGAGATAGCCGTTGTCTGGTATTTGTCTCTGAGCCTGAATCCACAGCTTGTGTTTGATACATTCTTTCTCCACTGTGCTCTTAGACTTTCCTTGGAAACTTCACTTTTTTCAAAGAAAATCATCATTGTGATTTCAAGAACTTTTCCATTGTCTTTCAGTGACAGTGACTTCTTAAGTTCCCGGCAGCCGAGACGTGGAATGCTGTTAAACTGAAGCTTGAAGTTCTCCAGCTCTTTTACAATATCCTGGGCTTTCTGAATGATCCCTGCATTCTTTGATAGCCTGATGACTTTAGGATTTAAAACACCTTTGGGCAGGTCAATCTGGAGTGACTTTAGAAGTACAAGGTAGTCATTTTCATTCCACATTTCACTGGGGCTGGTGCTAGAGCTGGTCACCAATCTGGAACCAGGATGCGCTTTTTCATTCAAAGAAACCTTAGACTGGAGCCTAAAGACTTCCGAACTGTCAACTCCGGCATCAGCCTCACTGGAAAAATGGGAACTGATATCCAGCCTTTTTACACTAACATGTTCTTTTAGTAAGTCTTCATTCCTCCATTGTCCCTTTGCTTCTTTGTTCTTTAGAAGTTCTTTAGAAGTTGTCTTTCCACTCCCAGAGACCCTAACTCTTGAATGCTTAATTTGACTTTGTCCCTTTGTAACATGTCCTAAAGCCTGATTTTGTGTTTGTCTTTCATTCTTTCCACCTGTATTTTCAGTCAAGCCGACCTCCATCCTTATTTTCAGTTCTAGCTCGTCAACATTACTCAATCCCTTCTGCCTATCCAACCACTTTTCCCTTTTCCATTCCCCATCTTTCCCTGAACCAGCCTCTGCTTCCGTACTCCACACGCTGGATCTTGTAGGCTTCATGTTTTTTTATGTTTAAAATTCTTTATATCTGTAAAACATAAGCATTGCATTGACTGCACTTAAAAAATTAAGCCAGCAACTTTTTTTCTTTTCTATGTATGGAAAAGCTGATAGAACTGATAAAAAAATAAATAAATAAAAGATTCTTCAGAATAAACTACACAACCAAACATCTTGGTGATGTGCTTTTGTGAAGATTTTTTGTATGAGATATTTTCTGTTGATATGAAAGTTCACTTTACTAGCTATATCATAATAATAAATAACATGTATGACTGCGTTTATAATTTGTTTTCTTTTTATATTAAATATTACACATACAGATGTAATGTAATGTGTATTTACATCACAGGTTTGGTCTTAAATTTCATAGGTTAAAGGTGGTATTAAAAAGGTCTTAAAACGTCTTAGATTTCAATTGTTTAAAGGCCTTTCTGTAGACACACAATTATAATGGAATATAAATGTCTATATGAAAATATGATTTAATCTTGTTAGAGAAAACCAACATGGCATCTGGAAATTTGCATGCGTGACAACCTGTCATGTGATCTCTATTTAGTCTTAAAGTTTACACTTTTTTAAAATGTTAACACTTAACTTTTGTTCAGTAAATCGTGTTAAAATATTTTAACCATTTGTGTGTTTTCTACCAGTTTATCTGAAGCATTTGTTTAAAGAGACTCTATTTTCTTACACAGTAAGTCCAAATACTCATATTGCTTAAATATAACATACACAAGTGTCTTCTCTAAAACAATGTATAAAATATATACTTACTGAGATTTTTATATGGTTCGAACTTCAAGCAGTCTAATCTTGTCAAGACTTCAAACACATAGGCTAACACGACGACTTGTGCTTATGTTATGTGATCTGTCAGCTGAAAAACAGGTCAGTCTAGATTGCAAATGAGTCATTTCCATTCAAGCCTTACATTTACACTTTCATTTTCCAGCTGATTTCATGTGTGTTTAGATTGTGTTCTTGTTTTCGTAAATCCTTAAGTATCAGGGTGAGTCATAAAAATGGCTTGCATAAATCTCTTTAAAGATGGAATTTTGGTTATAAAAGTTAGAATAATTAGAAAAAAATATATACAGTATTTACATTTTATATATGTATATGTATGTACTGTATATCTTGTATATCTACTGTATTTCTACTCCTGGATTATTATTATTATTTTAATATATCTAACATGTATTGGCATATGTATTGCATGTAGGCATATTTATCCATTCATTGGACAGTCACAGGATAGATAGATAGATAGATAGATAGATAGAGAGAGAGAGAGAGAGAGAGAGAGAGAGATTTTGAATAGAAATTGTCGTTGTAGGTGCATGTCCACTGTGAGAGACATAATCTATAAAAATCCAGAAATCACAATGTATGATTTTTTAACTATTTATTTGTATGATACAGCTGGTATCCAAAGAAAATGAATAATGGTTCTTAATTGTCTGATTCTAAAAAGACTTACTTAGAAATAACTAGAAATAACACGTGCTACTTTCAATTGCAGATAAAGAGTGCAACTGATCTGATTGGCTGAACTTATTCAACACACTGTAATGCTAATATAATTGCTATTAATTCTGACGTGAATACTGAAATGTGATCTGATATTCTTTTCAAAATGTTGACTTTAAATTGCGGTATAAATACTGCTGCAGATGTTATACTAGATCTGGATCTTTTGAGCCATCAATATGATCTATGTAACCTTGTATCTTTTAACTATTCAGGATATTCTCCTCAGTATGTTTGTTTTTGTGTAACTGGATATCTACTGAAGGCATTGGAAAAAAAACAAGGAGGAATTGCTGGCAGAACCACATAGGTGGCAATGTTCAATTATTTCTGTTGCCTCCTCATTAATAAACCATCCAAAACTTGTTAGTTTTTTATATTTATATTACCAACAGTCACTTAAAACAATCTTAACTGGATGATTTTCCGATTGACCTTTTAAGTTTGCCCAGTATCTCATTCTGACTTCCGGATGGATGACGCATCGTGAAAAGACAGACAGACGAGACTTTTATTATGTAATTTTAAGACAACGCTTCAGACTTTTATGTGGTACGTCATTTTTGGCGCCGGAAAAAGAATAGTAAACAGTATGGGGGGCGGGGAGGTGTTTCATCGGTTTTTTTAGCCTCATCACAATCACCGTTGTTTGAAGAATTCCAACAATACTTAAAAAAGCAAAAAATAATAATAATAATAATAAATAAACACATAGCGGAACTATATTACTTCGATTACAGACACTGTGGACTCAACGTTTCCAGGTGGTTGTTTTCATTACGAGAGGGGGGAGCAAAAACACTGCCGATCGCTGAGAGGTAAAATTATGTCTTTTTGGCACTTTAGGTAGGAGTCGCCAGTCCACCAACATTTTTGCAGCTGCAGTTGAGATACTGGGAGTGGACCTGGTGTTTATTTTCACCCAATGCATCGCTTCTGCTCATACACATAAGTTATTAAAATAAATGATTGTGCACGGTGTTATTTTGTCTAGTAGTAATCTTTGCAACTTGCTGATACGTAAATATTGCATAGAACCTCGATCACCCGCAGATGACAGATAACTAAAACAGCTACTTATTCGTTATTACTGCTATGTATATTAAAACTAACGTTACTTGATATCGGTGCATTATTTTAAAGATATTCTTTTCAAGATTTTAAAAGACGTTGGGGCTCTTACAAGTTAACAAGTATGTCTTTGCGAAAGTGTCCAAACGACTTTTATCTGTTTTAATTAACATTTTACAAAAAGGATTAAGCATAAACCCCGTTCTAAATTGTTTGTTTGTGGATATTTTTTCTCTGGTATTCTATTACAAAGTTTGATTGACTGGTCGTCCATCCAGTGAGCATGGAGGCAGGAGAAGACCAGACCAACTCCAGCTCAGCCAATAGCAGTGCAGCATCAGGGGGAAACTCCCGCCCCCCCCAGATAGCTCAAATGTCTCTCTATGAAAGGCAAGCTGTGCAGGTGGGTCATAAAGCCTAAGTGAACTAGACTTAGAGCCAAATTAAAGTGTTGTTTAGATCACTTATTCACCTCAGTGCCTCGGATTGAGTTAGAATGTCTTGATATTTGGGAAATGTAGTTGTCTGTACTCTGAAATATGTTTCCAGGCTCTGCAGGCATTACAGAGGCAGCCCAATGCAGCTCAGTATTTCCAGCAGCTGATGCTGCAGCAGCAGATCAACAGCGCGCAACTCCACAACCTGGCTGCTGTGCAACAGGTCTGGCTAATTCAGTCAGTCATGTCATGCAAAATCCACAACAAAATAATTTTAGTTCTGCAGGAAAAAAATAATCTATTAGATATATTTGCCCTGATATATGATGAAAAACAACCAAATTATGCAAAGTATTTTAAAATAATTCTACCAGCTTGTAAAAATAACCTGTAGGACTAAAATCTCAGCCCTAGTGTTAAACTAGAGTATTCATCATCTTTACCTGGTTGGATAAATTAAGTTTGGGGTCAGTATTTAGTTGTTGTTTTTTTATTTGAAAGAAATTAATTTACAGCAAAGTTGCATTAAATTAATCAAAAGTAATAGTAAATAAATGTATAATGTTACAAAAGATTTCTATTCCAAAAAAGTGCTGTTGTTTTTAATTTTCTATTCATCAAAGAATACTGGTTATACGATAATATTTAATAAGAATAAGAATAATAAATATTTTTTGAGCAGCACATATGAGAAGGATCGTGTGACAGTGAAAATTTGAAAATTCAGCTTTGCCACCACAGGAATAAATCACATTTCAAAATGTATTTAAAACAGAAATCTGTTAAATTATAATATTTCACAGTATTACGTTTTTTTTTAATGTGTTATTGAATTTAATAAATTCAACCTTGGTGACTTCTTTCAACAGCATTACAAAATGTTACCAACCCCAAACCTTTGAATGGTAGTATAGATAATCTTGTTTATAGATTGGCCCAGATAGAAGCATTGCTTTGCATCATGTGTAATTATTTTACATGTAACATTGTAGTTGTATGATTTTTATTACAAAAAACGAACAATTATTACTAATAATAATTTTATTATTTATTTTTATTGATGTTATTTTATTTATGATTACCATTATTATTATTATTAATAATAACACTCAATGAAAATGACTGAAAATGTTCTTAAATGTGATGATAGGTTGCTAATTATTTTCAGATCTAAAAATGCACCACCCGTTAAAAATTTGATTCTGCTTGTAGTGTCGTTCTGCAAATGTTGTTTAGAGGTTTCATTTTTATATTTTCAGGCAACTCTTGCAGCCAGTCGTCAGTCCAGCTCTCCCAGTAACAGCGTCTCTCAAGCTACAAGCACAGCACAATGCACAGTGAGTCTCTGGTTTTAAATCTATTAAATAAGTGTTGCAAATCTTTAAAGCGCTTTATACAATATAAAAGCAGCTTTACAGTGATCAACAGGAAAATGATTCAGTGATGCAAATGGAGTTCAATTAATCTGTAAAGCAGCTTTAAGAAGAAAATAAGTGTCATCTGCTCAGCTGAAGTCAGTTTAGTGTTGATTTATTTCTGTTACTTCAATTCAGCTATAGAGCAGCTCTGCAGAAAACAATGATGTCATTATTCAGCTCAGTTCTCATGCGATGGTGTCAGTACAGTCAGATCAATAATATTGTTGCATATTAAGTGTCCCCAACTAAGTAAGCCAGAGGTGACCGTGGCAATGAACCCAAACTCCATGTAATCAGGTGACAAAATGATGTCAACGAATGAACATGATGAGGTTTAATCACTAGTCAAAACAAATTGTGGATTGGTATCATAAAATATGTATGCATGACTATCATAACTAAGTATGATAACTATGCTACTTTTCTGATTGAGGACTTTTCTGTTTGTGGGCTTAATGCTTTTGATGATCATTTTGGAATGTTTTATTAAATAAGTAAAAGCTGATCTGTGATGTGTTTTATTTTTTAGGTGAACTTAAGTACCACTTCTGGTGGAGGGACCATGTCAAACCCCCGTCCGATAGGACCTGCCACCTTGGCAACATCAACAGCCCTTAGCCAGTCAGTTTTGTTAGGTGGAAACTCTGGTGGACAGGGTCAGATGTACCTGAGAGTAAGTGCCTTGTCATAGTACTTAAATTAAATTCGACCTAACATTATATTCTTACAACTTGTCATAACAACAAAATGAAAATGTTCACCTGGTGAACGTTAGTATAATAGTCATCCAACCTCGCTCTTTTCCTTAGGGTGTGATTTAACTGGTCTTTCCACCACACAGGTAAACCGCTCTCTCAAGACACCTCTCGCCCCTCAGCTCATTTTCATGCCTGGTGGTACAGCGACAGCTGCTGTGGCAACGGTTGCCCAACAGCAAACCCAGCAGCAGCAACAAGAAACAACTCCTACATCCTCAAGTAACCAGTCAGACAATGATCAGGTGTGACAATTGGATTTCTGAGTGATTTATGTCTCTACTCTTACACTGTGGTATAAATCCTATTAAATTTAAATACAATTTATAACCTTGGCAATAAATGTCAAAAAAAATTTATTAACACTGATGAGAGGGTGTTTCTAATATAACAACTGAGGGAATAATGGCAAATTTGACATCTTTCTCTCTTCTCGCTGCTTTCATCAATCTCTCTTTGGAAATCACTGATTTTTTTCTTTTTCTACTGGAGCAAATGGAAATACAAAAATGGTATTTGCTCCTGTTTACCGCTATAGATATTTACCCAACTATGACGACATCCGCTTTTCAGAACCCCGGAAATGTGAAAAGCGTCCATTAAACATCAAAGATATTCTTTCTGCCTGTAAATCTGTTTTAAAGAATTTCACTTTCAGTTTTTAAAAAGACAAATTACTTATCAGTGGAAACCTGTTAAATGATGCTCGGTTAGACCTTAGTGTTGAGATTGTCCCTTTCACATTTTTCATTGTTTTGCCTTTTGCATTATTTATTTTGTCTCTCCCATTTTTAGGTACAGAACTTGGCAATGCGTTGCGTGTCCACTCCAAGGGTGGCTACTGTGAAGACCGAGTTTGCAGATAGGAAGGAGATGAGTGGTGAGGAATAAAATTAAGATATTAAAGGACTCAACAGGTTATTTCTGCTTGCCCAGTTGAGACAGTAGTTCACATTTCCGCTTGCCCTGCCCCAACACAAAAAATATAAATGTATTCTAATTTCATCTTTACATGTATTTTTTTATTATCCGTATATACACTCACCTAAAGGATTATTAGGGACACCTGTTCAATTTCTCATTAATGCAATTACCTAATCAACCAATCACATGGCAGTTGCTTCAATGCATTTAGGGCTGTGGTCCTGGTCAAGACAATCTCTTGAACTCGAATGGGAAAGAAAGGTGATTTAAGCAATTGTGCATGCGTGGCATGGTTGTTGGTGCCAGACGGTCTGACAATCTGCTCAGTTACTGGGATTTTCACACACAACTATTTCTAGGGTTTACAAAGATTCATGTGAAAAGAGAAAAACATCCAGTGTGCGGCAGTCCTGTGGGCCAAAATGCCTTGTTGATGCTAGAGGTCAGAGGAGAATGGGCCCACTGATTCAAGCTGATAGAAGAGCAACTTTGACTGAAATAACCCCTTGTTACAGCCGAGGTATGCAGCAAAGCATTTGTGAAGCCACAACACGCACAACCTTGAGGCGGATGGGCTACAATAGCAGAAGACCCCACTGGGTACAACTCATCTCCACTACAAATAGGGAAAAGAGGCTACAATTTGCAAGAGCTCACCAAAATTTGACAATTGAAGACTGAAAAATGTTGCCTGGTCTGATGCGTCTCGATTTCTGTTGAGACATTCAGATGGTAGAGTCAGATTTTGGCGTATACAGAATGACAATATGGATCCATCATGCCTTGTTACCACTGTCCAGGCTGGTGGTGGTGGTGGTGTAATGGGGTGGGGGATGTTTTCTTGGCACACTTTAGGCCCCTTAGTGCCAATAGGGCATCGTTTAAATGCCAAAGCCTACCCGAGCATTGTTTCTGACCATGTCCATCCCTTTATGGCCACCATGTACCCATCCTGTGATGGCTACTTCCAGCAGGATAATGCACCATGTCACAAACCTCGAATCGTTTCAAATTGGTTTCTTGAACATGACAATGAGTTCACTGTAATGGCCCCCACAGTCACCAGATCGCAACCCAATTGAGCATCTTGGGGATGTAGTGGAACGGGAGCTTCGTGCCCTGGATGTGCATCCCACAAATCTCCATCAACTGCAAGATTGCAGTTGTCCTATCAATATGGGCCAACATTTCTAAAGAAATCTTTCAGCACCTTCTTGAATCAAGGCCACGTAGAATTAAGGCAGTTCTGAAGGCGAAAGGGGGTCAAACACAGTATTAGTATGGTGTTCCTAATTAATCCTTTAGGTGAGTGTATAACCATGAAAAAAAAAATATTCCATGACAGAAAAAATTATTTCATTTAAAAAAAGATTCAAATACTAAACGGTTATTTAAAATTGTCATAATACTTAAGTTTTGCTGTTTTTACTGTAATTTTAATTACATAAATTCAGTCTTGATGAGCTAAAGATTTCAGTAATTTACAACCATTCTTAATGATACTACCAAGGCTATTACAATACTTCATGTCAGTCAGATAGATAATTTACCTCATCTGACAGAATATTGCATAATAGTTAAATATTGACAATTATTGACTATTCTTTTTCAAATGTTTTTCAAATTCCTTTCAAATTCATGGATGTTTGCGTTTGCTGCCGTCATTTCCAAATGCACTATGAAATGAACTGTAGTTTCTCTATTTTTCTATGACTTTAAGGTTCATACCCAATTAACCAGCAACCTCAGACTCAGCAGCAGTTTGGTCAGTCAGCTCAGCAGATCCAAGCGCAGGCTCAACCGCTCGCCAACGCCAAACTGCAAAACTACTCCAACACCACCAATCCCAATATGTCTGGTCTCACTGTGAAGGGCACCAATCAATCCGCTGTCACCCCACAGCAAACAGGAGGTTCCTCCAACCCTCCGTCCTCCTCGCCTTCCCCCTCGCTCCCTCTCTCCCAGCTCCTCCTTTCTCAATCTGGCTTGTGCCAAGCTCGAGGAGTACCAGCTGCTGCGGCCACCGTAACCCACATCCTGGTGCCCACATCCAATGTTCCCACATCTTCTCAAGGCTATCCGATGGGCACGGTGGCAACCAAATCCAACATGACTGCCCAGACGTTAGTAGTGCAGCCACTCCAGCAGACGGGGGTGAATCTGGGCTCGGAAAAGCTGGGTCATGGAACAGGGCATGTGCCCATTCAACCTAAAACGGCTCAGGGGCATCGGCCGCCAGTGCAGATGCAACCTCGTCACCCACCACCCATTCTCCCGGCACCACCCAACAATGGCCAGGCCACTGGGGGCCATCACCCTCCCCACGTCCCAGTTCAGCTGGTTGGCGCAAGGCAGAGCACACTAGGAAACTCCCAGGCATTAGCGGTGGCCCAGGCTCGGGCCTGTTGTGCCCAGCAGGACGCCACAGCTGTCGTGCCCGTCAATAACTCCGGTAGCAATGCTGTTACTATGATGACTCCAGGGGAAACAGGCGGAGCCGGCATGTGCCTTAAAACAGCCCAAAGTGCCCTCCCAATGTCTCAGATGCAGACCAATCAGTGTGCAGCGTTGAGTCTTGGCAATTCTGCATCTGTCACACATTCGATGGATGGACAGAATAACTCTGGAGACTCTGTGTTCGTTCAGTCTGGACCAGTTCAGGTTAGTAGATAATAGGTGAACTATATTTCCTCATGGTGTGTTTATGCCGTGACACTTGTGTGATCTTCCTTCTCTTATAGACAAAGCCTGTGATTGGTCAATTAAAAAGGAAATCAGAATCCGATTTACCCAATGAGATGTCAACCGAAACCATCAATGCAAGTCTGTTAATGCAAGACTCCGCCCCTCCTCTTTCACCAGCTCCCTCACTAGATACAGGTGAGCCATAGGCAAGGGATGGTATGCCTGAGACGCAGTTTTTCATACAAAATGCTGTTTTTGTGGTGCCCAAAAATACCCCAAATTATACACAACTATTGATAAGTTTGAGGTCAGTTAGTTTTTTTTTTTTTTTTAAGAATATTTTTGAGAATTTTTTTAAAGAATTGATTATAAGTAAAAGTAGAGGCTTTTTTTTGTTACAGAATAATTTCTTCTTTAAATGAATGCTGTTCTTTTGAACTTTCTATTCATCAACAAATTCAGAAAAAAACGTATCACATTTTCCACAAAAATATTAAGCAGCACTACTGTTGTTGATCACATTTTAATGGCTAAAGGGTTAATTCATACTTTTATAAAATATATTTTTAAATACAGTAAACTATTTAAAAAAAAAAAAAAAACTGCAAATTTGCATATTTACCTACATGTTATTAAATGTACAACCAGCCTGTCATGATTATAACCCTTTTGGAACTGATATTATGTGCATGTAAACCATTTTTTATTCATCTTAATGGTCGATAATAGCCTGGATGCCAGCCCCAACCCCGCGCACAACATTTTTTGGACTGGAAGTTCGGTCTGGACTCGATCCATTGAGGAGTAATTATGATCGGTTCAGAAAACATTGGGCCAATCAAATTGCCAGGGCGGGCTTATACAATGATGGACAGATGATCTGCAGTTACGTAATCATCACTTTATCAAAGAGCGCTTGGGTTGAACTGGTTTTCCTCAAAGTTCACTGCAGGAGAATTGGGATGTATAGATTGTGCAATCGCGTCTGTTGTAAAGGATATCACACAGCGCATTAATTTTAAAAGACTAACAGAGAACTGCAATCGAGGCATGATTAAGAAAGATGTGTTTGCCGTCCTTCATACGAGAATCGGCAAAAGTTTAATTTATCAGCTGGATCCATGGTCGCTAAGAAGATGGGATGCAATGAAAACCCTGTGGTCAATGTGGTTTCTCCTTTGGTTGCACTCATGGTTCAAATTATTTTACTAGATTATTTTATTTTTTTTGTAGTTGAGTTCTGTTGATAAATATGCAGAGCTCAACATACCTCACTTACTGCGTTGCTCTTATTTGTTGTAGGTCTATCCAATTGAGTGCAGAGTTTTGTTTTTACCTGGTTTGGTTAAGACACGCCTCATCAAAGCTCTATGGCGCAGTATCTCACTCACATTCTGACTAGAATATGAATATGACGAAGTCAGGCTAGATCGATACTGGATATTTAATTGCTCACACTCAATTCCCGCCTATTTTTACCTTTGCCATCATTTAACAACACTCAATTAAAAAATGTATCTTTAAAAATACTTTAAATAATATATATATATATATATATATATATATATATATATATATATAAAACAATTTATTATCTGTATGAATAGCAGTATTTATTCTTCCCATCTGTCTTTTTATTAACGTTTTTGCTTTTCTGATCAAACTGTTTCTCCCTGTTTATTTTTCTGATTTAGCCCCAGAGATGGCATTCTCTTCTCCTCCTACTCTCTCTCTTTCTCTCCCTCTTCCTCGTGTTGGAGGACAGGGCGATCGAGCACCTGTGCCACAGGCTGTGGTCAAACCTCAGGTTCTCACTCACCTCATTGAGGGCTTTGTTATCCAGGAGGGAGCCGAACCTTTCCCTGTAAGTCTTTCTGCTTAATACAAACCTAGTGTTTCATGGAAAGGCAAAATGTGTTTTCAGACCAATTAATTACTGTACCAATGGTCTGAGAGGAATAGAACATGCATTAAATTGTCCTGCTGATTGACACGACAGGTGACTGGGCCATTGAAAGAACTTCCTGTGGCTGTTCCACCCATCCTACACCGAGAGAACATCCGTTCTGATAGTGAGTGGTCGTGTGTTTCAAACAAAGCTTTGTGGAAAAATCTCTTTCTTACACATTGTGTCTATATATTGTTTACAGAGTTAAAGTGTGAATACTGTCAAAGATTTGCACCAGCCAACCAGTTCAGACGATCCAAGCGCTTCTGTTCCAAAACCTGTGCCAAGAGGTAAGACCAAAATCATCCCATATTATTGATAGATTCTTTAATTTCTCCATATCAATGAAGATTTTTAAATAAAAAAAATTAAATAGAAAAAATTTAACCAACTTTGAATAAACCTTGTTTTAACGCTGACTTCTGAACCTTTTGATTCAGGTACAATGTCAGCTGCAGTAACCACTACCGTGTTAGTAGGGGTCTTGAGGGTGCTGAACGGCCACCAGGGAGTCCTGTTGTACAGGATGTTATTGCTAGGCGGAGGGGTCCTCGCAGGAGCAGCTCTGAAATTGCCTGCGCTAAAATATCAGGCAGGCATCTTCCAGTAAAGGTGAGATGATGGATGTTGCAGTTTTGGGTCTGTACAATGTTTTTTTATATATATAATGTAATACTTTTATTCAGCAGGGATTCATTGAATTGACCAACAGTTACAGTAAGGAAATTTAAAATGTTAAAAAATAATATTTCAAATTAATTCTATCTGTTCCTGAATCCTGAAATAAATAAATAGAAATTCCACAAAAATATTAAGCAGCACAACTGTTTTCCACAATCAATGGTAACATTCTTGAATCTTGAACACTAAATTAGCATATTAGAATGATTTCTGAAAGATCATCATGCTGAAAATTTAGTTTTGCCATCATGGGAATAAACGTTTCAATTTGAAATGTAATATATTAAAATAGAGAAGAAACATTTAAATAATTTTTCAAAATATTATTGTTTTTACTGCATTTTTGATCAAGTAAATGCATAGGAATTGAGCATAAGCAACATGACATCATGACTTTTGCGTAAACATATACGCCACTTTCGAGTCAGGTGGCGTGTTATCTCCACGCATTTTGTGCTATCCGCGTGTGTCCGTGTGTATGCGTATATGTCTACGCCATTAACGTCCGCGTCATTCCGCGTGTCTGAACACGCAGTCAAATCTCCAGTCATAAATGCCATTAACCCCAGTGACGGTTAAGTTTAGGGATGGGGTTGAGGTAAGTCATATCTTTTTTTTACCTAGGATGGTAAGGGAACAGTCATAAATGCCATTAACCCCAGTGACGGTTAGGTTTAGGGACGGGGTTGAGGTAAGTCATATATTTATATAACGTTAAGTCAACGGCGTTCATAAACACGCTGAAAGGCGATTATGCGTCTTGATAGCACGCCAAAAATGGAAATACGAATTGGCGTGTCATACACGCGCTACTTCATGAGATCAGTCTGCAGACTTTTTTTCAAAAATTAAAAAAATATTCCAAAGAAGTAAATAAATATGACTTTTTTCTGTTTCGCAGTGTCGTTCAGAATCTAGTCGTTCTGAAGACATCTCCAGCTGTGAGGAAGAAGACTTCTTCTCACTCTCTCCCAGCTCGTCCTTCTCGTGCCCAAGACCAACCCACTGTGACCCTCAGTTGGATGAAACGGCACCAGTGGATGAGAACCACTTCTTATCTGGGAACCCTGCTCGCTGGAGTGTGGACGAAGTGTGTCAGTTCATTTCTTCTCTTCAAGGTCAGTATTCTGATTCCAAACGTGAGGTGCTTTGTGTTCTCCTGTATATTTACGATATTATTTAACATACTCCTCCATTGTGACATCTCTTGTCAGGTTGTGAGGACTTGGCGTCTCAGTTCCTGTCACAGGAGATTGATGGGCAGGCGCTGTTGCTTCTCAAAGAAGAGCATCTCATGTCCACTATGAACATCAAACTCGGTCCTGCTCTCAAAATCTGCGCGTCTATCAACAGTCTGAGGGATTGAGCGAGGGTCGGTGAGAGAGATGAGTTGCAGGATTAGAGCTTTATACTTCCATCACCAGCCTGAGAAACAGAAACTGATGGGCATGAAAAGACTTTAGATTCGACCTAAAGTTTACTCAAAACAACAGGGAAGAATGGGAGAGAATGTCATCTGAATGGTAAAATAATAAATGATGCCTTATTAAAGGGATCGTTCAACCAAAAACGAAAATGTTGCCTTCATTTACTCTACCTCATGTTTTTCCAAACATGTATGTTTTTTTTTGTCTTTTAAACATAAACCAAGATATTTTAAAGAATTTCTGTAACCAGACAGTTACCAAGAGTTACCAGGCAGCCATTGACTTCCATAGTATTTGTTCCTACTATGGAAGTCAATGGCTACCATCAACTCCATACCAAAATTCTTTAAAATATTTTGTTCAACAGAGGAAAGAAACTCATACAGGTTTGGAGCAACTTAAGGGGGGATTAAATGATGACAGCATTTTCCTTTTGGGGTAAACTATCCCTTTAAAAGCAAACAATTTACCTTTAGTATTTTTGTTTAGATGTGAAAGCCTGCGTTATTAATGTTATTGTTTTCAACGATGGCTAGATTGTACCTGACTAATTCTCACTTTAATTTTTCCTGTTTTCAAACACTTCGACAAAATATTTTGGAAGTTATCCCAAAGGAAAAATAGCACAAATATGATCGTGTATAATCTTTAAATGACTAGATCGATTTGTTTGGGGATGATAAACAAAATACGTCTCAGTCCTGTATTTTGAATGTGCTACATATATAATATTAAGGACTTGTTTGAATGGGCATGTGAGTCCTGCGTCTGGTTTTTTTTTTTTTTTACTGTAAATGTGGTATCTTTGAGTATGTTTGTGTTCTTTTGTGATTGGTGGTTGTTTTATACCTTTGTAATCAAAGTATGACTGATGATGACATTAGAGACCGCAATCAATGTTATTCCTGTAGTGTTTTTGACTATCAGATTCAAGGACGTGAATAAGTTGCCTTTCTAAAAATAACAGTATGATGCCTCTGACAGCTTCATCTTTTTCTGTGTGCTATTTTGGAAGTTAATACTGTGTCCATTCCTGCATCACTGCTATTAATGGGTCAGAGATTGTGAGAGATGAAAAATCTGGAGTTATGTTCTTACACAGTATTACTGAATGGAAGTAGGTTTCATTTCTTTTTTAAATAACTGACTGAAGGAGTGCTTGGATAACTGATCCTAGAACAACAAATTGTTTATTTTTTTTTTTTTTTTCTACAGTAGATAATTGTAGGAAATGTTTCATTTGTATTAAAAATAGCATCATTATTTTTGGGTACAGTTTACCAGCTTCATAGACAAGTATTAGTAGCTTTACCCGAGAGCCTTGCAGCACATGAGAGCAAGAGTGAGCTTGAATAAGAGAGAGAGTGCCTGAGAAAGCTGTGTGCTGGTGCTCTTAACATGGCTGAGTTTCTTTGTATGCATAAATATGAATAAAGAAGGTGCTGTGACATTCACATCTCAAGTCTTTATTTCCTGTTTGGCTATGTTTCCCCTGTCTGTTCCAAATGTATTGACAGCTTTTAAATCATGTATAATACACATTTCTGTTTTGTTTTTAAAGGGGTGATCGATTATGATTTCACTTCTCTAACTTTAGTTAGTGTGTAATGTAATGTAATGTTGCTGTTTAAAAGATATTTTCTTTTAAAGAAATCGTTTTTTAAACAACAAACAGCTGGTAGGGACTACCAAGGTTATTATCGTGTTGCATTTTTCATTAGTTTTTTTTATTTAATTTTGAATTTGTGTTTTGAAATTCAGTTTAGTTTTTAAAGTGGGATTGCTAGTTTAATTTAGTTTATTTTTTTTAAATGCTTCGTTTTAGTTTAGTTTTTTTTTTTGTCTTATTTTGTAGTTTGGGTTATTTGTCAGGGGCAAGATTCAAAAAGGTCAGAAAGGTAATTGTGTAATTATTTCAGGGAACGCGATTTAGCAAAAACCTTTAGGTTCAGGGAACCGGAAGTGCTAAAATGCTAACTCACTTCCGCGTTTCGCGTCGCATTGTGGGAAGGATTTGCAGTATTATAAGTAAGTGATCTCACTCCCAATGTTGGTTTGAATATAAGGATGGCTGTTTTTCGCAACAATCTTGCTCGTGCTTTTTTACAAATAACGTTAAGAGTCAAATTGTCAGTAATTTTCCAGTGACTTCCAGAACTATTAATTTATTATAATACAGTAAATGTGCAAATGGACCTGCCACGTGTCTTTAAACAAGGCTGCATCATTAAACTGGCTCTGTCTGGACTGTCCTGGATCTCAATTTTGCTTGATCAGACCAGTCCAATAAGGTTGAAGCGTCTTGGTTCATTGCTTCAAATTCTAGCTTTCCACAGCACCAGCAGGTTCAAATATCTTTCTGTACAATAAAATAGTGATTTGATAACAAATAAAATCAGAAAATTTGGCAATTAAAGATTATATTTGAAAGTATTCGTTAAAATTAACATTTCATACTTTAGTTTTACGTCAGTATGGCTGGTCGACACTGGAGATGCATAGTGTTACTGTGTACACGTACACCACAAACAAAGTTTTAAATACAGATGTGATGTATTTGTATGTGTGGAGACATCTAGAGTTCAGAAAACTGTGTAGTTGTTAGATTCTCCATATCCTGCCTCCTTCAGATACTTTTCAATATTGATTGGCTCAGGCACACGGATAATACTGCTGTCATTGGCACTCTTCTCTCCAGATTGGAGTTTATGCCTGACCTCAGCCAACGAGGGGCGGTCGTGCTCCTTCCACTGACAGCAGGCTTTAATAATTGAGTAACTGGAGAAAAACAGTAGCAAATTGATATTTTGAATGTACAAAACAAGAACTGTACAAATAGTAAATTATAATTAAAAAAACACAATAGTTTTTGTAAAAAAAAAAAAGTTGCATTTACAGTGAGTTGGAGCAGTTGTTTGGTTTCTTCAGTGTTTTGGCTCTCTGATGATACTGTAGAAGTTCCTTTGCAGGGATTTCAGCAAAGGGGACCTCACCTGAAAGTATTGAAAGTGTGTAAAAATAGGATAAATAAAAATGTGAGAAAGAACTTAAAGTGAGATTTGTTAAATCATTTTATCACTATATATAGTTCAGGATAGTTCACCCAAAATGATTCAGAACACAAATGAAAATATGTTTTTATGAAATCAGAGCTTTCTGTCACTCCATTGACAGCTACGCAACTACCACTTTGACATTTCTAAATTTCATAAAGAGATCGTAAAACTAATCTATATGAACTGAATGATCTATATAGTCAAATGATCAATATAGTCATTTTCTGAAGAGACATGATCGCTTTATGATGAACAGATTGAATTTAGTCTTTTATATTCACATATAAACATTTATCAAGTCACTCATCAAGCAAGTTCGCTTTATGTGTGAGAACCAATGAGGTTAATTTTCGTTTGCTATGTGGGATGTTTGAGCTTTGGAAAGAGCAATGAGGGTTTTTTTTCTCTTGTGTCAAACAGGTTCGGTTGTTTAGCTTCTGTTTATATTCGCTGATTGCTTTATGAACTTATTGAAGCATCAAAGTCGTAGTTGTGTAGCTGCCAATGGAGGTACAGAAAGATGAACGAAAGTCTTACAGGTTTGAAAAAACATGAGGGGGAGTAGTAATTAATGAAAGAATTAACATTTTTTGGGTGAACTAACCCTTTAAATCCATCTAAAAAGAACCAGACCGTAGACTTACCAAGAGTAACCATTTCATACAGCAGCAGCCCAAATGACCAACTATGAAAAAGTAAAGAAAAAAAAAAGAAAGAGATATTTTAATTGAAAACTTGAAAGTTGCTTTTCCTCATGACATGTCTTGTGCTTCTTACGTACACATCACTTTTTGGACTTGCAGGTCTCTTGGCCAATAGCTCAGGAGCTTGCCACTTTTTTCTTCCAGGATCTTCACTGTGATTAGAACTTTCTAATGTCCTTGCGTATAAATCATCCAAACCCCAGAGTTTTGCAGTACAAATCCTGCTGACCAGTACGCTACGAGCCTTGATGTTGCAGTGGAGAAGATCTTTGCTATGGAGAAACTCCTACAGAGAAAGAAGGGAAAAAAAAGGTGTATACCGTGTAGCCATGATGTCCGACCTTGAAATTGAGCAAAAATATCAAATGACACCCTGATTGGCCAATATTTTGATTTGCTGGGAATCCTTTTGTTTATTCAAATGCTTGAATCTTTCTCTGAGATAGTGTTGATAACTTTGTACTCACCAGTGCAGAACACACATGTGAGGCCATGGTGAAGATCTTTCTCTCTGTCATCTGATGCATGCCGTCTGGTCCAACATTATCCTATTTGAGACAGTGTTATTTTCATTAAGGCAAGGCAAGTTTATTATTTTTATAGCACTTTTCATACACAATGGTAATTCAAAGTGCTTTACATAGAAAAAATTAAAATAATTAAAAAAAGAATAATGAAAACAGTCATTATAATTAAACAGTCGTATAATTAACTAAAACTTATAAAATGTATAATTAACGATTACTGAAATTACTAATAAACACTATAGTTAACAATGATATTGAAATAACTGGTTTGAGAAAATTACTCCCTTTTTAATTAATTTTTTTTATTTTTACAATAATTTGTAATCAATTGAGTAGTCACTGATTAATGTACCAGCAGACCTGATGAACACTATAAACAGTGGTTCTCAACTAGTTTTGCTTCAAATCCCCCATATTTCATATTGGCATCAAGCACAAACAACAGCTAATACATATAGTAAACAAGGTACCAAATGAATTTGCACCAAAAAATTGTTCCCATGACTTATCAGTCTGTTCCCAAAATGTATTAATTCGGTTAAAATAAAACAAGGGAATAAGTTATTTTTACATGTTCGTAATAACTTGTTTTCCCCCCACATGTCATATGCAGAGCTCTGTACCAATTTATTTTATATTATTAAATTTATTTATTTTTATTGCTATTTCGCGTTCTTTTATTAGGATTTAGCTTTTTTCTTTCTTTTTTTTTTTTTTTGGTCATCTGCAGGTTCCATATCAATTTACTTGATATTTTTTATGTTCTATTTTATTTTTTGCTAATCGGCATCTCCCATTGTCAGTGACCTACCAGGCCCGTGGCCTAAATCTGTTACACACCAGTTGAGAACCACTGCTATAAAACATCCTGGTCCAACCTCTCACCTGTCTACACCTCCACAGGAATCCGAGCAGATCTCTGTTCTCTATCTCCTCAATAACTGTAATGAGAGGAGCCCGCAGGGATATTACTCCCAGAAGCTCCGGTAAGAAGGGATGAGGCCCTAACTGGGAGAGGAAGGCCGCAAAACCCAAGAATGACTGACTTTCCTGGTTATTTGCTGAATCTGAATATGAGAATGAAAAAAAAAAGAGAGTGAAACTGGAATTCAAGATCTCAGTCAGATTTTATATATAAATAATATAAATAATCCACTTGGGCCTTGCACCTTTAAGTACACGCAGCACCACATTTCTGTTTTCCATCCGAGCCCTATAGAGTGAGGTGGAGCTGTCTGACTTCAGAGAGTATGATGCTGGGAGAGGAGACACCCCTTTGAAGTTCTCTGGCAGTCGCTGACGTGGAAGTTCCCTGGGCTTTGAGAAGGCTGAAGCTGCGCCCCCAAAAGAGCCTCCGCCATCGATAAAGTCCACGTTTGCATTTAAGGAGGCAGGGTCATGCCTATAGGAGTCTCGAACTTGTGATGTAGGGTTGAACGTCATGTAAGATGTAGTGTCCAGTGCTATTGGCTCACCTTCCAGAGCATTCAGACCAATAGGAGCTAGACTCAAAAGGAGATAGAAAGAGGATGAGAGAGATTGTTTAGGTGGGGTGTGACGAATCAAAAGTTTGAAAAAATTAGACTAGGATTCTTAATCACATATAAAGTCAAATGTCATGTTTACTTAAATGAAAGCATTGAGTATAAACCATGCCACTATGCAAACAATTCCACTGTGTAGAAAAGAGGTGTAATGCCGTATCAAATATTTTCCTACGCCCTTGTTACGACGCGTAAGCACAGTAGTTTACATGCAGCAGTTACATTTAATCCCTGTATACAGACATATTTAGTTATTAAGAAATGTTTTTTGCGATCATCTTTTTATTAAATTGTGATATGTACATATCCATTTATTTTGTTATGCAACATACATGTATGTATGTATATATATATATATATATATATATATATATATATATATATATATATATATATATATATACACACACACACACATAAAACTAGGCATCCTGCTTCTTAAATAGAAGCAGACACTCACCATCAATGCCTTGCAAATTTCTCCTAGTCCTGGTTGCTCGACTTGAGCGGTTTTGCAGGCGATCCACCTTCTCAGGACAGAACCTCAGCAGTAGTATAAAAACCAGCGTGACCAAAAAAAACATCAAAAACAGCACCGGTACGATTATCACTTCCTGTTCATACACCCGTATCTCTGAGGGAGCAGATCAGATGTTTGCAAGGAATATGAGTGTGAAGTTTGATATTTCTGCTTACAACTTTGGTGACAGTTGTCTAATGTTGATGATACCTGTGTTTTATCTGGCAGACTTGATGTCTACTCACCACAAAATGTATCTCCGGTTTTACATTCCGAATATGCAGGACTGGACGAGGTCGCCATCCTGTTCAGAGACAGAATGTGGATTTAAAGGTTGGAGTTTTTATTAATTAGCTACCTACTTGTTCACCAAAATAGCACAGTGTTGCAGGTTGATTTATAAACGCAGAGAACATTGAAACAATTTGCTGTGGGTTTTACAATTAAAAAAAATAAAGCCTCCTTAGGATCTCTTACACTGAACAAAATTTTAAACGCAACACACAGATCTAAGACTTTATCTATGTACACAAAAGGAGCACTTCTCCTTTGGCCAGCCTAAGGCACACCTGTGCAATAATCATACTGTCTAATCTGCATCTTGATATGCCACACATGTGAGGTGGATGGATTATCTCAGCAAAGGAGAAGTACTCGCTAACACAGATTTAGACAGATTTGTGAACAATATTTGAGAGAAATAGGCCTTTTGTGTACACAGCACACAGATTTTTGAGTTCAGTTCATGAAAAATAGAGGCAAAACCAAAAGTGTTGCATTTATAATTTTGTTCATTGTATAATGGCAGTATGAAACATTATGTTGAGTTCTGAGTCAGTGTAACATGATCAGTCTTTTTAATCATGAAAAGGCTTTGGGCAGTTGAGACGCATCTTTTCTCATCATCAGTTCTCAGAGAAGGAAACTTCTAGAATATCTTCTATAGAAACTTCTAAAAAAAATAATAGAAAATACATTTTACATGTAAATATTTATTGTATACACAAGTGAAATATGTGTATGATGGTATCATTTTAGTATATTCTCAAACAGGCTACACTACACACTTGAGCTTTAAGTGCAATATGAGATGACCTCATTTGTGAACAAAAAGTGAACACACCCAATGCATTTTTTATGAAGTCAGTACAACAGTACATTTGCCATAGTTTGTATGTGCTCATAGCTTTAATTGTCATCTTTGATGTGCTAAAAGGTGAATGTGTTCTTTATAGGCCCATAAGTGTGACTAAATGTGTTTTTGGACTGTGAAGTCAAAGGCAGCTGTTTTAGCTCTGTCTCTGACACACACGGAACAGCCTTTATGTATGATGCTCAACCTGTTTGTCTGCATTTTTCTTTCTTGAAGACTACACAACGACATGTCATATACATAAAGAAACTCACAAAAGCAAGTGAGATATATTGTACATGAATATCTTTACTGAGTAAGTGTATTTTAAATAGTGTCTTTAAAAATTGTCCAATACTTTTATGCAAGGATGCATTAAATTGATCTAAAATGACAATAAAGGCATTAAAAATGTTGCTTTATTACAAATAAACATAAAAGTTATTATAAATTGCAATATTCCTCAATATTACTGTAAAATTGATTTAAAAAATACAGCCTTGTTGAGACTTTTCAAAAACAGTTACAAATTTATACCCCAAACTTTTAAACGGTAATGCAATACTCTCTATAGTGCCTTTTTGTCCTTAAATGAGGTATGTTTTAAAATCAAATTGGCAATAAATACATTATCAAATCATCTGACAACTAATTCAACACATAGGCCTGCCTTGTAAACACAAGCACTAAGTCACGTCTTGTTAACCCATAAGCTCCGTGGTCATTTTGTCTTTAGGTCTCCACTGCCCTACCTGCTGGTCACTGTGGTTGTAGGTGATCTTACTCCGTGATGCTCAGTTTCAGATTCTCAATATTTAGATAGTTTTCCAGGATGAAAATAATATCCCATTGTTGAATAAATACATCACCGCTGTATTTCCAATGTTATGCAGTGTCATCAGTCCCTCTTATTCGTCCCTTTCCTCGTTTCTAGAGAATTTCCGTATGGTGTACTGTAGGACTAAGTCTGCTTGTGTTTGTCTATGTCACACCTTTCTTGGTTACTTAGCTCCACCCTCCTCACCTGTGCTACTTGCTGTTATTGTCAACACCCTCCTTTACTGTATAGGGTTAACAAAAAAACATTATTTACCCATCAAAGGGTAAAAGCCAAGCCCTCCCGTTTTTACATTCACAGTGTATCATTTTCAGCTGTGAAACCTGTTAATGATGAAATTCTCAGACCCTGCCTCTAATATTGTTGTATTAACATAATCATATCATCTATCAAGTTCAGCATATAAGTCAGTTTCTCCTTCCTGCATCAAACCAAACTGAAACCTGATTATCCAGCTCCTCAAGTTTCTCTAGGAGAGTCAGACATTCAGACACAAATTCTGACTGAGTTAAAGAGGATATACAGGTTTACCTTTCACTGAGCTAATAATTTGGAACAAAAAAGGTTTGTTTAACCATTGCATTCTGTGTATGACAGCTGATTTGCACCAATATGCGCCAACTTTATTCAGAAGTTGTTGAAATATACAGAGTATGAAGTATGATCACATTGTGGCTGTGGGCTTGGTGGGTTGAGGCCCCATCAAAAGAAAGAATGATTGGACAATGAACAGTCTGTCATTTCAAAATCCTCAGGAATTCTTGGTTAAAAACATGTCACAGCTTAATAACTCATAAAAAAATATATGTATTTTTTCGACTAAAATGTAACTCTCCTTAGTAGGAAAATACCATTCACTTCAATCATCAACCGGTTACATTTGGTTATTCGACAAGCCATAAATAATCGTGTGATCAAACAGACAAGACAAAGGCCAATTTTTTCAACTTTGCTGACAGATAATTCAAAATGCTTTTTGTCATTTTGACAGAAATAAAGCATTCTACTTTCCATATGAAGTAAATATGTAACATAATCAGTTAGTTTAGGTTTCTGTGACATAATAATGTTATATGCTCTTTAAAGAAGGTCCCTTGTTGGAGGTAAAGCCTGTCTGTGTTCAGGGTAAGATCTGTGTGTGAATGTGTGCAGGGTCCGCATTACACAGTGACCTCTGTGGTTTTATCGCGTGTCTGGCTAGGACACGCTGTTTTTGTGATGGACTGGCCACTTTCCTATGGTGTGGTTTTCGTGCCTTCAGAATGAGACGCTGGGATGGGATGAACGGATGGACGACATGTTCCTCAACACTAAGTATTAATAAACACAGCACCTGTTTCTCTGAACTCGTGCTTCTCAGTGATCCACAAATCAATCCATTTACAGGTTATTAGCACGAAACACCGTCAGACTATGACTGGAAAGTATAGGCCTAGATTATTGCCAATAAGATTCACAATCAAGTTTTGCTCATACAGTGGTGTGAATAAGTGTTTGACCCCATGCCAAAGTTGCCTAAAAAGAGGAATAAAAAAAATAATCTTTTGGATATTGATCTTAATGCCTTAATTAGAAAAATGAGAAACTCCAACCTTTAAGGACACAAATTTTCCCCACATCATCACACACCTTCCACCACACCTAGAGATTGGCATGGTTTTACTTCAGTTAGCCTAATAGCTGGTTTGATTTGCATTGAAAGATGATCTTATGGAAAGTACCCCATGCCAATCTCTAGGTGTGTGATGATGTGGGGATATTTTAATTCCAAAGGCCAAGGGAACTTTATCAGGATGCATATTATCCTGGATCCATGAAATAACTGGCTTTTAAAAATAAAAATCTGCCTGACTCTATGGGAATTTAACATAGGGGGGCAATGACTTATGCACCCTGTATTTTAAGGAAAAACATTTATTTATTTATGATACATTATTCATTCACAAAGAAAATTTGTGTCCTTAAAGGTTGGAGTTTTCCTCATTTTTCTAATTAAGGCATTAAGATCAATATCCAAAAGATGATTTTTTATTCCTCTTTTTAGGAAACTTTAGCATGGGGGCAAACACTTATTCACACCACTGTATTTATTGAGGGTGACGGTAAGTTGTGTAAATTAAACATAAATTAATAAATTGAACTACATTTTGCTTTATATTTTTAGACAAGCTACTCAAATTACATAATTAGGCTAGTAAAACGAATTGTCAAGGTTGGTTAATTGGCATTCCCTAGTCTTTATTTACCAATGCAATGAGCTTACAAAAACAATGTGAATTTACACCACCAAATTTTTATTTAGAAGTCAAAATCTACAGAGTATGGAAGAGTAGTGATCATATTGTGGCTGTGAGATTGGTAGGCCGAGGCCCCATCCACTTCTCCCCTGGAACACAAAAAAGAGATAAAGATAGAAATTGGACGATGAACAGTATATCACATAAGATTTGAATATCCTGAGGTTATTTAGGAATTTAGTTTTAAAACATTACACAGCACAATAACTTCCAACAAAAATTGTATGGTAAAGTTTTTCTATGAATGCACATTTTGGCAAATTCTTCATTATTATGATTATCATTAATAGCTTTAGCAACCGATTAGCATATTTAACTGGTTAAAATCTGACACAAACACTTGATAAGGTCAATTATTTGTCAATATTTCTTTACTAGACTCAGTGAATTTCAAAAACACAGATGGATAATTCAAAATGCTGTTTATCATTTGCAGTCCGTTTTTCAAGGTCATTGTAGTGCTAAACAAAGCTGGAACGTGTCAGAATCACCGAATAATGAATAAAAAAGGATGAATAACAAACCATAGTTTGCTCATCTTGCAAGAGATAGCAGTTCTTTAAATAATTGTATTGTTTATTATTTTTTAATGTTAGTAGTTGGAGTAGCCTTTATAAAAATACAATTAAAATCATACACGTGTTATTAAAAAAAGGCATCAAACAAGTTGTTGGTTAATGGGTTAATCAGTTAACCGTCTCCTTATAATTACCAATGAAATAAGCCATGAGCTCAAATCTGTCAGAACCAAAGAAGACCTCAGCCTTCCCATTCACATGACACACAATGAATGGAAGACCAAAGCACTGCAAAAATGGGGGGGAAATGTGCAAGGATGTTTTATAAAATTTACCACAAAAACATTTCGGTATGAAAGACAAAGGGTGAAAAGATGCACGTAAAAGCACTTACCTTAAACTCCAGTGCTTCCTTTGTGACACTCTTCAGCTTGTCTTTGATTGGCTGAGATTTGGCAAGGGTCAGAATTTCCTCCACCTCATTGGTTGAAAGACCTGCATTTAATCCCACCTGTGCAAAACAGAAAGACATCGGAGAATAATATAAATTACCAGACAATGATTTGTTTTATTGTGTTCACTAGCTCCATCATAGTGCTAAAATTTGTGAAATTTCCTCACATCTATTATTGTATAGAGCAGTGGTTCTCAAACCTTTCCTGGAGAACCTTTCCTCCCTCATTGCACCTGATTCAACTCAAGAGCTCATTAGTAGAGACTGCACGATATGGGTGTGTCAGATATAGGGAGACATAAAAAAATGTGCAGGGCTCCTGGTCCAGGACAGGTTTGAGAACCACTGGTATAGAATAATTACACTGTACCAGTGAGTTTTTTATTAATTTGATTTAATTTCTTAATCTTTGGTTGGCTATATGATACCTCAATCAATGAGGCAGGCTGGGTAATGTCCTGATGAGTGCACCACATTCTTTTCCACAGCTCTCTAGACACCCTTTCCAGCAAGTCTCCCTCTTTGTCCTGCTCTGCCACAGCTGTCACAAATCGCATCGGAACCAAAGAGTCTAAAATGTCAAGAGACAAGAATATATCTTGTTTTAGTTTATTTTTATTAATCCCCATTGGGCATTTAATTTGAGTTTACATGATGCCTCACATAAAACACTAAGCACATACATTCAAATACATAAAAACCCCATGATTTACTCATCCTCAAGCCAACCTAAGTGTATATGATTTTCTTCTTTTAGATTAATAAAATCAGAGATATATTACGAACTGTCCTGGCTCTTCCTTTATAATGGCAATGAATGGAGAATGAAATTTTGAAGTCCATAAAAGTGCATCCATCCATCATAGAAGTAATCAACACAGCTCCACGGGGTTAATAAAACCCGTCTGAAGCAAAGTGATGCGTTTGTGGAAGAAAAATATCCATATTTAAAACTTTTAAAACTAAAAGTTTCGTCAGCTAAAACTAAAAGTTTCGTCAGCTTCCAGCAGACGACTTGCGCCAAAAGAGTAACCCCTGACGCGATGGATGTAGGAGTAAGCTTTGATGCCTTTCACGGTTCAAAAAAATAGGGCTGGGCAACAAACACAAGCTCCTCTTCTCTTATATCGAAATCCTCTGACATTTCTCTTTAAAAATTCTGGTTTTAGACTTCTAATGTATGATCAGTGTTTTGTTTTGCTCCATCCTCTGCACCTCTGTAAATATACGTTATGCGTCAGGTCAGGGTTACTCTTTCTCCGTAAATCGATACTTTTGCTCAAAATTTAGCATTAGCACTACTAGCACTTTTATTTCTTTATGAGAGAAAGAAAACAAGTAGCCTATGCCTTGTATACTGCATTATAAGTGGCTTGAATACCTGACTCATAAGGTTTTGAACTTTTAACCATAGGGACCTCAAAGTACTCAGACAGCAGCTTCAGATCTGAGGCCATGTACTGAATCTTATTTGGGATAAATCCAGGGGGCATGTTACCTAGAAAAATAATAATGATAATGATAACAATTGAAAAGAATGAGAAATCTATAAAAAAATACAAAGTGTTACATACAGTTGACAAATGTATGTTACAAGTTCTACTTAAGCGGTTCGATTATTGCTCCCAGTTAATTTCATTTTATTTTTATAAAGTGATTAATTATAAAAAGAGCTACATTTACAGGAAAATCTATTATGTCCTATTACCTGAGCCATGAATGACTCCTCCTAAATAAGCTGGTTTCAATTTGAGGTCGATGTTCCAAATGCTTCTATAACGAAACAGCACCTTAACACACACAATCAACACATCATCATACATTAAACATCTTGAGCAGATTAGATTTCAATTAACTATGTTAACCCCCCTATTATCCTTGGGGTCAATTTGACACCATTCCATGTTTATCATTTTATTATTATTATTTTAATTTTTTTTGCTTCAGATTTAATGACTTTTCCTAATTTAATGGGGACAACTCTGTAAACGTGAAATGAATCTGCTAATATTTTTCAAAAGTCCTGTAGCATCGGTGTTCCTTGGGGTCAATTTGACCCCAGGCTCTTTTAGTTGTATCATAAAACAGAAGAAATATTAAAATTTTGCAAACTTTTGTTTTGAGTGTTTTATTGAGGTCACTAGAACATGTTATAATTTTAATTTATAATGTTCATCATAATTTTTCATATTCAATATCATATTCAAAAAAAATGTTTTAGGGCTCTAACCAAACATAACCATACCTGTAGTATTGCGAGAACCCTAGTAGTTCACATGACATGTGACAATTGTCATGAGAACTAATAATTCTTTCCTGTGCCATGGGGAGGAGAAAACATACATTTTTGCGAGAACTTTGATGTTTCCCGTGCTATGGAGCCCTCACATAAGTCATTTTTGCGAGATTGACCCCAAACATAACTTGTGTTACTAATAAATTGTTTTTCTTTCCAAATGTTATAGATTACAAAAATCTACTTAGAAATATTATAAAACAAATAAAACACCAAATATATTTATACTTTTCCAATTTAGGTCAATCAGTAATATTTTATGTTGATTTGTAAATTTGTCCATGGTGGTCGTGCAATGGGTATTCTGGATGTATAAGGGGTTAGGTGGGGATGGGTGGGGTGGTGGATGGATGTCAACTTAAAAGGTTTCTTAAGTAGTCAACAAAGACATTAATTAACTGAGACAAACCTTTGTAAAAAATATATATATAATATTGTGGAGGTTTAAATTACTGGGGTCAAATTGACCTCAGTGGGTAAAAAATGTCATCAGATTTGAGGGTAACAGGAGGGTTAACAAAGAAATAATAAAAACATTATGCACCTCAAATGCCAGCCAGGAGTAAGGAGAGGCAACGTCATAGTATAACTTGACCACTTTTCCGGAACTGAACATCTGTCATGAATAAGCACATTATCACAAACATTAATTGGTTAGCATGTGGACAATTACATTTTCTGCTGGGGATGCTTGAGATTTTATAGAGCCTTCGCATATGATGAGAGGCTGCTCAACTAGAGAATGATGTGTTGTGGAAATTCTTAACAACACCTTAAACAACAGCTGAAGAACAAATGAAGATCTCGAAAGTTATACTGTAAGTGTTAGTATTTATTTCTTGCAAGAAAGGCAGTTCACACACAGACAGAGTCTGATATGAGAAGGGTAAATGTCTTCTTATTTTACAGCGTTTATATACCCAAAAGATCACCTCCTAGATGTACCTTCTCCTCGTCTCATCTTTGGAATAAGGGCCCCGAGTTCTCTGTTTCCCTTATTTTCTAACACCCCTTATCTATGCATCTCCACAGTCAGCACATACGTCACTTAAGAAACAACACCTAACCAAACATGTCTTGCTCTTGATGCACTCAAAGTTATCTAATGCTAAGAAAGACAGGCCATTCTGTCCTTTTGTACGGTCCTATTGACCTCTTTGCAAAGAAGATGATGATGCATCTTGCAACTTCACAAACCACTCAAGCAGATCAAGAGATACAAAGAAAATACATTTTCTATTACAGATGTCATTAAAATTGTTGAAATAAAGTTGAAAGAGAACTTGCAGTCAATACGTGTGGGGAATAGGCATCATAGATCTATGAACCACCACAAGTTCTTTTTACAGGCATTAAATGTGTAGAAAAACTTCCTGGCATTGAGTTTGTGACATTTACACCTTATTCAGCGCATGTAGCGTGATCATGCTACACCGGTGCTTCATTAAAAGCATCAGTTACAAAAGCAGGCTATCGGTATCTCAAGTCCAGATCAGCAACTCTTTCTAAGTCCAGGCCAGCCCTACAAAAATCCTGACAGGAAAACTGAATCACAAAAATCTACTGTCAGACAGTTGGAGGGGCGTGGTTATGGATGCTAAGCAGACACCCAAACCGTCAAACCTACATCATCAGGGAATGTTTCTTGTTGATTGACTTGCTGTTCACCACAAAATAAACAATTTAGGCAAACAAAGTAAGTAGGCTATGGTCAATTTTGAATTCATGGGGACTTTTATTATAATTATTGTTATAATTATTAAATGTCATTTTGATTTGTTTCTGGGTGCTAGGATCACCTACAGGATTTTGAAATTCTGTACCATGATGTTTTCTAAATTATTGTGATTTTTTTTAATAATCGATGATTGTATTATACAATTTGTATACATTGTTGTGATTGTGAGACTTGGTATCTGTAAGAAAGATTAATCAAATACTAGTTAATTAGCCTACTATAGTTTTAATATATAATACATTGTTGTGATTGATTGTGACCAGACTTGGTATCTGTAAGAAAGAATAATCAAATACTAGTTAATTACTATAATTTTAATATATAAAAACGGGTCAGACAATCTGGTTCCATCTGTTAAAATTAACTTATTGCGGTTCTGGACAGTGAGTGACCTTGCACATTAAAGGGTTAGTTCACCCAAAAATGAAAATTCTGTCAGTATTTACTCACCCTCATGTAGGGGGGGATTTTAACATGATTCTGGATCACAATAATGACTGTTGGCCTCCACGTGTTTCCTCTGCAGTAAATGCTAATTTAACTTTATTTATGCAAAAATTTAATTTGGTTGATGTATGGAGATTTAACAATCCTAACATAAATGCTTTTACTTGGAGTAATAGAAGTGCCACCAGACGTTCACGATTGGACTATTGGTTAGTTTCTGATCATTTGAATATTGACAAAATCTCAGTTAATATCATAACAACCCCATTAACAGATCATAATGCTGTCTACATATCTATCCCATTACAATCTGCCCCTTCCTCAAGATGTAGGAATGCCTACTGGAAATTAAACAGTTCGCTTCTAAAACGCGATGAGGTTAAATCAGACATTAAGAAACTAATATTGAAATTCTGGAATAAAGCAAAGTCCGAGGGTGCTTTTGGTAGCAATTGGGAACTTCTGAAATTTAAAGCTGGCCAATATTTTAGGAATTATGGTAGTATGTTATCTAAAAATCGTAAATTGGAGGAAGAAAGAGTGATCTCTAATATATTTACCCTTTACCAGAAGGATCCTGCAGATATTTCTGAAGAGGAACGGTTATCCTTAATTTCGGAACAACTTAAATTAAATGAGATTTACTCCAACAAAGCAAAAGGTGCCTTTATAAGGTCAAGAAAAAGGTGGATTGAAGAAGGGGAGCAGAACTCTGCCTATTTTTTCGGCTTAGAAAGATATCATGGGAAACTTAATTTAATCCAGCAACTTAATATTAATAATACTGTAACTGATAATCCGAAAAGTATAGCTGTTTTCTGTGCGGAATTCTATAGAAATCTATACAAATCCAAATATTGCCATCAATCATCCACTACTTTCTTGAACTCTCTGATCGTCACTCCAATCTCTCAAGATGATAGGAAACTCTGTGATGACCCTATAACTGTGCAGGAAATTACTTTTGCAATTGAACATTGTAAACATAACAAATCTCCTGGAGTTGATGGCCTGTCTGCAGAATTTTATCAGGCTTTTACACAAGACTTAGCACCCTTTCTGCTTGAAGTAATATTAGAAAGTATTGAAAAAGGTTTTTTACCCCCCTCACTGACCCAAGGCTTAATTACGTTAATCCCCAAACCTAAAAAGGATCCACTGTTTATAGACAATTGGCGACCTATCTCTTTACTCAACACCGACTACAAAATTTTTGCCTCAATTATTGCAAAACGTTTAAAAAATGTTTTAGACCCTATTATTGACGAAATCCAATCAGGTTTCATGAGAAATAGACACATCTCAAATAATATTCGGCTTGTCTTAGATATAATTGATTATTCATTTTTATGTCCTGATGAGAGCTTTATCTTTTTCTTAGACTTTTATAAAGCCTTTGACACAGTAGAGCATAATTTTATATTTAAAACCCTTGAGAAATTTGGTTTTGGGGATTTTTTTTGTAATGCTGTTAGAACATTGTACTGCAAAGGCAATAGCTCTATCAAATTAAAAAGTGGGACATCACCGAGATTTGAGCTGCAGAGAGGCATCCGACAGGGCTGCCCTGCCTCCCCTTATCTATTCATTTTGTGTACTCAACTTCTTTCCACCCATATTAAAAATAGTGCTTTAAAAGGAATTTCAATTGCAGATAGAGAAGTTATTCTCTCCCAACTTGCAGATGATACTACATTATTTTTTTAAAAATGCCAGCCAAGTACCAATCGCTATCAAAACAATAGAGTTATTTTCAGCAGCTTCTGGACTTTGCTTAAATCTGAAGAAGTGTGAACTTTTTTCCCTTAAAGAAAGCGATACCTCCCAGATTTGTAGCATACCGATCAAAGATAAGATCACTTATCTAGGTATTACTATAATGAAAAATGAGGAGGATAGATGCTCTGTAAACTTTAATTCAATTAGTGATAAGACAAAGAAAAAGTTAAATCAGTGGCTGCAGAGGGATTTATCCTTGAAAGGACGAGTTTTGTTGACAAAGGCAGAAGGTTTATCCCGTCTTACGTATGCAGCTATCCCCTTATTTGTCAACAAAAAGCTTTGTAATTCAATTGATAAGTGTCTTTTCAATTTTATTTGGAAAAACAAGACTCATTATGTGAAAAAATCTGTTATTATGAATACTTTTGAACGTGGTGGTCTAAACTTTCTTGATTTTACAACCCTCAATTATACTTTTAAAATAAATTGGATAAAGCATTTTCTAAAAAATCCTACATCTACCTGGAATTTTATTCCTAACTATATTTTTTCTAAGGTTGGTGGTCTAGAATTTTTACTTTTATGTGATTATAAAATAGAAAAAATTCCCCTAATTTTATCGAAATTCCATAAACAAATGCTCTTAGCATGGTCATTAATCTACAAACATAATTTCTCCCCACATAGGTGCTTCATCTGGAATAATCAGCTTATTAAATTCAAAAATAAATCCTTATTTTATAAAACTTGGTTTAATAATAACATTTTTCTAGTATCCCAACTATTGAATGATAATGGTTTATTGCTAAATTATTCTGAATTCCTTCGCATTTTTGGCATTCCGATCACCCCAAGAGAGTTCGCAATTGTTATGGATGCCATCCCTTCTGGTATCTTAACTCTCTTAAAAAGGTCTGGAAAACCTGTTTGCCTACCAGCTTTGGACCCAAAGTTAACCTCAGTTGGTAATATTTGTTTCGCAATCACAACGAGGAATAATAATAGGAATATTCGCTCTTTATTCCAGAGAGATGTCACATGCATCCCTAACGTTGTTCCCTATTGGTCTAACTTTGCTGATAACCTGAATTGGGGGATTATTTGGACCCTTCCTTACAAATACCTCCTTACGAATAAAGTAAGAGAAATCACTTTCAAAATGATACATAGGTATTATCCTGCTAAGCAATATCTTCTAAGGTTTAAGCTTGACATTTGTGTTGACTGCTCTTTATGTGGTCTAGTTCCTGAAACAATGGTACACCTGTTCTGGCAATGTCCCTACACCATCAGTTTCTGGAAAGATCTGTCTCGATACATTTCTGTTAAACTCATTGCTGATTTTTCTTTGTTATGGAGGGATGTGCTGTTTGGTCTCCATGCTGACAAAGGTAAAAAACAAAAAGAAATATACTTAATTAATCTATTGATAATTTTAGGAAAATATCATATTCACAAAGCCAAATTTAGTAATTCAAAACCTTCCTTTATTGTTTTTGGTAGGGAGACGGAACAGTATATCAAATCCATTTATGATTCACAAAATAAGAAGGCTGCTAAAACCATTCAGTTATGCTCTATCTTTAATGTATTTATTTGAAGCTTCCCCTGGCTCTGTTTTTGTTTAATATTGTGTTTTCTGTATTAATGACTTTATTTGTGTCTTACTGTTTGTATTGTTAAGATTTAAAAAAAAAAAAAAAAAAAAAAAAAAAAAAAAAAAAAACAGAGGGCAGGGTTTTACTCTAGCGCTCCTCCTCTCCATCTCTCGCTCATAGCAAACTAACGGTTTGAGGGGAGTGGTTACGCGTTTCCCCACCCAAACTGTGAAACCTACGTCATCAGAAAAAGAAACAGTTCCAGACCGGAAGTAACTTTTCAAATTTGATTAAAGATTACTAAGGTAAAACATTTTTTTAATATATATTCACTTGCACGGATTAATTGTTCACCACAAGACTAGTAATATGCGCTAACAAAGTAAATGGGTTCAATTTTGATTTCACGGGGACTTTAAAGTCCTATAATATTCAAAGACAACAGTGCACTGTGGTAGGCTACGCTCTTCGGATTTAATAGCAGTATCTATTAAGTCACCGGCATGCACTAATAATCTCCACATCCACCCCAGCCCGTTTACCTTCAGGAGAAGTACCGTGACTGTAGGCCTACTGTCCTCGATTAAATCAGTCAGACCCGGGGAGCTTGCGAGTGGAAGCGCGATCGAGCGGGATTCTTTATTGGTGTCGATTTTCAGTCTCTTTTTAATTATAGGACGTACGCATCTGTCAATCATCTCCGCTTGCAATTTGGGGAATGAACCCAGCGCTATGATTGGTCGAACTCTTCTCTTGCTGTTGCTTGATTTGAGGACTGCGCATGCAAATAGGCGTCACCAGGTCCCAACCCTGTTCCTGGCGGCACACCAACACTGCGGCGTGTATTTTTTGTCTCCCTTATCAAACACGCCTGATTTAACTCATCAGCTCATAATCAGATGGGCTAATGAGCTGATGAGCTGAATCAGGTGTGTTTTAGATTAGGGAGACAGAAAACACGCAGTGTTGGTGTGCCGCCAGGAACAGGGTTGGGAAACACTGGTAGAGTGACAAATCGTACCAGCGTACATTGAGGTCAAAATGCGTGCCCACTACGCAAAATGCGTACATGTTGGCAGGTATGACAATTTATTGTAAAAAAAAAAATATTATATTATATTCTGAACTGCTGAAACGAGTGGTCAGGAATAGAGTGGTGCAGGGATGACGTAGTGTTCAGGAATAGATGCAGGGATGACGTAGTGGTCAGTAATAGAGTGGTGCATATTAGAGTGGTGCAAATATTTTTTGTAGGACAAACTGTCAATTACAGTCAATACTGAAGTCTTACAGGTATATAATAAATATAACATTATACAATTTTTGCAGGACAAGTATGTGGATCAACCTACAGGACACAATCAAGAATTTACCCATAGGAATTTCATTTTGTCATGCAGAATTCCTTTATCAGCTGTTTAAAGACAACACCAATGCAAATGATGCAAATTCCAGGTTGGTATGTTTCGACCCGTTCCCTTGGCTAAAATACAAATCCAACTGATATAAATTCCAGGTTGGTACGACTCGACCCGTTCCCTTGGCTAAATCCTAATCCAACTGATATAAATTCCAGGTTGGTACGGTTCGACCCGTTCCCTTGGCTAAAATCCTAATCCAACTGATATAAATTCCAGGTTGGTAGGTTTTGACCCATTCCCTTGGCTAAAATACAAATCGCATGCTAGCATGCTGCTTGTACTATTTCTGTCATATATTTATATGTAAGAAATAAGAGTACTATGCAAGTGTGCAGTTTTCAATTGGAATAAATAGAGTACTATGCTAGTGTGCAGTTTTAAATTAAGTAAAACTGAAACACAATGAAGTTAAGCTTAGTAGATTCAGGCAGATTCAAAGGTATACCACATAAGTATTGGAAAGAAAGAGAGCTGCTGCCGCAAAAAGGATCATTATTGATCCTTTTTGCATTTAAATACAGCTTCATTGTTTGTGATACTTCTATTTTATTGATTTATTTTTGCAAATATATGTGGCATGATTTTGTCTTGACCTGAAAACATTGACCAATTATCTGCAGATTTTTTAACAACAAATTTAATGACTTTTAAGACCTTTTTAAGTCCTCTAAAAGGCAAATTTAAGACTTTACACGACAAAAAAAAAAAAAAGAAAAAAAAAAAAAAGGAAAATGTTCAGCACGACACGACAGTGTTAATTTTGGCAGCCTAGTTTTAGTTGACAAAGTCATTGCATTTTTTGTCAACTTTTAGTCATTACTTTTAGTCAAACTTCAGTTACCGATATTCATTTTGGTAGCTATTTTATATGTAGTCTTTAGACAAAATTACATTATAATTTTTCGCTTTAGGCTAATTCAATTAAGCTTATACAGTAGAGACATTTGAATCAAGGTAACAGGCTGTATTGACATTGCACTTTTTAGCAGTAGCACTTGTGCAATTCTACATATCCCTGTTCCTCACTTCAGTGGTTCTCCATTTTTTTTACAATACCGTAACCCCTCTTGCACTTAGACTGCATTCACACCTTTTCCATTTAGGGACAATATCTGCCCCTTTTAATCGATTTTTTCCAGTTCATTTTATTTACCTTTATAAATACTTTAATAAAATAAATAATGTTTTAAATAAAACAATGTTCAATAAATATCCAATGATGGTAAAAACGAGGTGATACTTTTAAATATTAAATTAAAGTCACCAGTAGGTGGCGGTAAGTCACTGTCATCCGTCATCTAGTCATTAATTCATTCATTAGTAACAAACATGTTAACAAAGCACGTGGCTGTATTTATGAACGGGTCATTGAATCTCGCGAATTCGAATCACCGCTGTGTACTGCAGTTCTGCAGTGGCTTTCGTTGCAAAACAGCAATAATATGCAATAATATGATCAACATTAAAAACACTGCTGGATATCAGCCTGCATTGATCGCAGAATTAGTCGCACAAACAGCTCGTGACATAAAGACCAACTGAATGGCACTTTAATTAAAGTAGATAATCTCAAATGAAGATCACTGAACTCCAGCTACTTGTCTGTGTTTTCAGATCATCCGCGCTTCTTCACAGTGGCAGGTCGAGTGACAGGCGCATATAGCGGTGGCAGGTCGAGTGACAGCTGCCACTAGCGGTGACGGGTGGAGTGACAGGTCTCGGTGGCAGCTGTCCCTGCCACGGAAAGATTTTACCCCCTCTCCTTCTTCAGCAGTGTAGGGCGCGCGAGCAAGACCGGGTAGAAAACGTTTTAGTTTTAGACAAATATATTTAGATAGCTAAGCTTTAGATAGCCGGTCCACTGATGTAGGATGTAAACAACGGCAACCGGAACCGAAGTACCCAACATCCGCCCTCAAGGCGGAAGTTAGCATTTTTCTCGTGCACAGAGTCAATTGAGATTTTTTTTTTTTTTTCGCGTTCTTTTTTTTTTTTTTTTATTAAATCATAACAATACAAACAGTAAGACACAAATAAAGTCATTAATACAGAAAACACAATATTAAACAAAAACAGAGCCAGGGGAAGCTTCAAATAAATACATTAAAGCAGAACTAAGTAACTTTTTTTACCTTAACTGAACAGCTTTGGAGTCATTGTAATGTTAATATTACTGATTTCGTGTTGAATGGTGATCATCTCGCACCCCCCTGGTGCCTGTGAGCCGCAAAACCACCCTTGCAACTTTGGGCCGGCGGCTCGCCGGCCTCAGTGTTAGGAAGTATCGTGAGATTTCAGGTCTCGCGAGGTAACGAATTGCTTTACGGCACTATACGCGCACACGCATGCGTACACGCCCCCGGCCATCCAGGAGCCGGCTAGCTATAAGAAAAAGGTAACGCTAGATATTGAATTCTTCAAGTTTTCGTGATGGCTGATGTAAAAGAAGAAGAAGACAGCTCGGAAGTGTTTATCAGAGAAACAAAGAAGAGAAACGGACCGGCTTTTTCAGAATAGAGAGAACTGAAAGAAAGCGAAGCCTGCAAAACCGATGCTGACCTGGCCTTCTTGCTGTTGCACTTGTAAGTATCTTTATAATAAACTGTGTTTAATGTTTGTATTTCTTGTAATTGTGACCTCGGGAGTCGGGATGTTTGCTATTGTCTGTTTTTTTTTTTTATTATTATATTATGCTCGCTGTCTGTTACCGGCTTACTAGTACGTTAGATACTGTAACTTAGATGTTAGCATTTTCATTAGCAAACAAACTTGCTTGTTTTCTGTAAGTAAGTGTTTTGTCCGTTCCTCTATCAGGGTTTATTTGTGTTTCTCAGATCGCCTATAAATCGATCTGAAATTCTACAAATTATGCATTAGTTTAGCTTGTCGTCAGCCTCAGAATTAGTAACGTTATACTGTGCTGCTGACTTGATAATGCATAAACCGACACGAGAGCTGCTAGCTAATAATGCAACTTTTTTATATTTATTTACCCACATTTACACAAACAGAACTATAAGTAAACGAGAAATTGCATTGCAACTTCACACATGCAACTCCATCTGTGCTATTTTGACCTTGTCTATAAATGATATGTTGATAAAAGATTGATACATTTTCTTTTTCCTTTTTAGCTACAAGCGTTGGCAAGTGTTATCAACTCCGAGGCACCCCAGACAACCAGTACCACCGGTCTCAAGCTTCAATAATAAAATAAACAAACTTGTAATAAACAAATTAAACGTGTTTGACTTTCTTTGGTCAATCGTTACGATAGACAACTCGGATCACCAGAAAAATGATGAATGTAACGTAACATGTATTTTGATAATGCATAATCAAAGTAGCTATAGCTGTAGGCTAAACTAAAAATAAATAAATAGCGGAAATATTTCTTATAGTATTATTGATTTTTAACCATAATGTTACTGATAACGTTTGGTAACACAATAAAAAATATACACTATCTCAACATTTGAATAATATTGTTCTGAGAATCATACCTCAGTGGACATGGCTCGGGCGTCAGTTTGGTTTGAAATGTGCTGGGGACAGAGACGCATTTGGAAGGGCATTTTCAAAAGTGCTGGGTAACGCATTCATTCTTTTTTCTCTTTCGAGTAGGTAATGTTTTGAACGACGATGTCCATAGCTTCCTGATGCACATAAATAAAAATGAGCACAATACAGTGATGGTCCGGCCAGAGGTTCCGCACTCGAATAGTTTTTATTTCCCCCTCATCAAAACCAATAATGTTTATCAGTGGTTGAATTGATATAATGTTTATCAGTGGTTTTATATGTTTTGATGAGTGGGGGAAAATATACGAGAGAGGAATTAGAAACCATGAGAAAAAGGGACACGTTTGTGTGCATTTTTATTTGTGATTTCACCGGAAAGAATCTCCGCAACGGATTGAAGCGCGTTTCTGAGAGAAGCCAACACATTTCAGTGCTAGATCGCCTGTTATTTAACAAACAAATGAAACGAATGCTGTTAACTGGAGATGTTTTGCATTAGTACATCTGTGCCGCGAGATGTTTCAAAAGTGGTGGGGACAAAATCCGTTTGTTCGCCGGCTTCTCTGAAAACAAATCCATTCTTAAGAGAGCTCATAGTGGAATGTTTTTTCTGAGACAGTTAAATAAACTGAACGTTTCCAGCTCTGTTCGGACTAGATTTTACAGGGCCACTGTGGAAAGCCTTCTTTCAGCATCCATTACTGTCTGGTTTGCATCGGCATCAGCCCAGGCGAAGGTCAGACTACAGCGTATTGTGCGCACAGCTGAGAGGCTGACTGGACAGAGGCAGCTGTCACTTAACGACTTATATGAGGCCAGAGTCAGAAAGAGGGCAGCTAAAATTGCTGCTGATCAGTCTCATCCAGCAAGTGACATTTTTAGGCTGCTTCCTTCAGGGAGAAGGTATAGAGCAGTGAGGACAAGGACCTCACGCCATTTAAATAGTTTTTTTCCAAGAGCCATTTCCCTTTTAAATAGCTGAATTAGCCCTTCTGACTATTTTATTATATTTATTATTATTATTATTTTTTTTTTTTGTGTGTGTGTGTGTGTGTGTGTGAGTTTGTGTGTAACTGATGGCCATATCAAATTCCTGTGCATCTGCTGATGCATTTGGCGAATAAAGTGATTCTGATTCTGATTCTGATTCTGATTCTGAAATTCACATGGCCTGCCTGAACGAGATGGGAGGGGGAGTTGACAACGAGTTTACGACAGTTTTCTCATGTATATATACTCCGAAACTGTAGGGGGAGCTCGAGAGAGAAACCTGCGAGAAAACAGCAAAGAAGTTTCCAGTCTTACTGAGCGCTGCTTTAAAGAAAGAGCATAACTGAATGGTTTTAGCAGCCTTCTTTTTTTTTTTTTTTTTTTGTCCGACTTTTTTTTTTTTTTTTTTTTGCAAGTTTATTACAAACTTTAGTGGAGACAACATCAAAAAAACAGACCAGGCATCAACAATATGCAGATTGACAATGAAAAATAAATAAATAAAATAAATTAAAAGTAATACATAAAACAAGGCATAGTTTTCAAATAAATAATGTGTTACAGGATCAAAAACTTTTCAGCAGCATAACATACATCTTCTACAGTTTGTTTAGATTTCTTTACAAGGTTCAAGGAGGATAAAAACATAGAAAATTCATTTTTAAAACAGTTTACATTTGGCAATTGTTTTCTCCATTTATTTTTGTGAATGTGGTATTTACCCATAATGATGATAAGGTTAATCAAAATTGAAAGGTCCCTTGTTATTTTGGAATTATAAATTAGAATATCTTCGATGGTAAATTGTTCAAGTTCACTAATTTTATTTTTCAACCAGCTGTGGACATCTTGCCAGAACTTCCTGCTAACTGAGCAAAGGAAGAATAAATGTTCTGTTTGTTAGCAGCCTTCTTATTTTGTGAATCATGAGATGTCCTTCAAGATGGCTGAGCTCGATCGGTTTCCGGGTCATAGGAGGGAGGACGGAGGATCGAGGAGACAAGGAGGGATATTGAGAAGCACCCCCTTTCTCCCTCTTCGGTTTCTTCTTCTGATTCTGTTTAATAGCGTTTGTCAGACTAGTTTATTGTGCTTTTCTGCCACCTACTAGCCTGGAGTTAGTTAGTAGCCTATCAACAATGTTCGATAGTATATTACCCATTTTAACTGAAATACAGCTTTGCCATCACAGAAATAAATTACATTTTAAAATATATTAAAATAGAAAACATTTATTTTAACTTACAATAACATTTCACATTGTTACTGTTAATGCAGCCTTGATAAGCATATAGACATAAATCGTATTTCTGTCTCCATGGCTTTCCTTTATTATTTTGTGTGTTTACATTCGCTGATGAATAAAAAAAAGTCAATTTACATCAAATTAAATGTTTATTTAGAAGTTGTTGAAATATGTATGGAGGAGTAGTGATCACATTTTGGCTGTGGGTTTGAGAGGCTGAGGCCCCATCCACTTCTCCCCTGGATCACAAAAAGAAAGAAAGTGATTGGACAAAAATGTAATATCCCAAGATTACTTCAGAATTTATGGTTTACATGATAAAGTGCAATAAACCACCAAGTAAACTGGGTAAGATAAATATAACCATTATCCTATCTAATAAAAGAAGTAGAAATCCAAAGTTACCGATGCAATGAGCCATGAGCTCAAATCTGTCCGAGCCAAAGAAGACCTCAGCCTTTCCATTCACATGACACACAATGCACGGAAAACCAAAACACTGCAAAAACAGAAGGGAAAATCACTGCAAGGAACATTTTAGTTAGAAAGACAAAGGGTCCAAAGACACAAGTAAAAGGCACTGACTCTATGCTCCAGTGCTTCCTGTGTGGCACTCTTCAGCTTGTCTTTGATTGGCTGAGATTTGGCAAGGGTCAGAATTTCCTCCACCTCATTGGCTGAGAGACCTGCATTTAATCCCGCCTGTGCAAAACAGAAAGACAAGACATTAGTGAACACACTGAAGTCAAAGTCAGAGGTGAAGTACAATGGATGATATCAAATGTTTAAATGTATATAGTTTTATGAAGTAATAGAAGATTAACATGTCAATTTACTAACTGAAAATTGGCATTCAGATCTGCCTCCATTAAGTTATTAATGCCCAACTTCCTAAAATCCAATCAATTACTGGTACCAAAAGACAAAATCAAATCACGGCCTACATTCTGATATACATACAGTAATTGGGTAGAAAAGTCTATCCCAACTTCCGTTTCATGCAGACTTTAAAAAGTGCTAATCTAGGGTATTTGATACCTCAATGAATGAGGCAGGCTGGGTAATGTCCTGATCAGTGCTCCAAATTCTTTTCCACAGCTCTCTGGACACCTTCTCCACCAGCACGTCTCCCTCTTTGTTCTTTTCTGCTACAGCTGTCACAAAACGCATCGCATTCAAAGAACCTACATGGAAAGATAGAGGACAAGAGAAAATAAAGAGACTTTGACAGAAAGGATTTACCTAAAAACACAAGATTTTTTAGATTGTAAAATAAATCCGACCTTAAGTAAGCAAAAAATACTTTAGAAACAATCCAACATCCTTTTTTTCTATGAGACAAAGAAATCTACAAGTATGGCTTGCACTGTATATGTAGTCATCAGTGTCATCGTAAATAAACAGCAATTTGAATACCTTTCTCAAACATCACCTCAACAGGATTTGAAGGTTGATTCAAAGGGAGCACAAAGTACTCAGACAGCCGTTTCAGATCGGTGTTCATGTAATAAAACTTATTAGGGATCATTGCAGGGGGGCGGTTACCTAGAAATAGAAGAAATTTGATCATCTATTATCTTGTCATCTATAAAAGTACATCACATACGTCCATCAACATTCATTTAGAAAAATATACATCATAATATGTTTGAAAGAGGACATATCATGAGAATCTGACTTTTTCCATGTTGAAGTGCTATAATCGGGTCCCCAGTGCATCTACAACCCAGAAAATGTGAAAAGTGACAACACAGTAACTTTGATATGGTAAGCCTTTCTCTTCAAGTTCAAGCATGTCAAAAAATAAGCCGATCAGATTTCTCTCCCCATCTGACGTAGGAAGGGTATCTTGTTATAATATTACCGCCCCTTAATCTGCACGTTTCCACCCACAGCACCGTCATTTGGTTTTCACAAGTGACAACAGTAGTGTAAAAGTTTGAGCGAAGCATTTCTCGCTCAGGTTTAGCATTACAAATGTATTAAATATTTAATGTAGGTTCAAGTACAATAGTATATAAACTGAGAAAGTCTAGTAGACTGAATTTAGCATTTAAGGTATAAATGAGAAAGAGATTCTGCCAGTTCTGGTCTCTCTATTGTAAGTTAAATGAATCAGATTACTGAGAATCTTTATCTTTAATGGTTTTGGGAGCCCCTGGCTCAGTTTGAATAGTTATGCTGATTGGATTAGGATTGGTATCACTCTCAGTCAAACCTGTATACTTCTTTTACATGCTTTGTTTCTGAGTGTCTCCACCTCTATGTAACCCCTCCTCATTGTAAGGTATTTGAACACAAGGTATTTTGCCTTTAGTCAGACTTGGGTAAGATTTTAGGGCGAAGCAGACTTGAGAATACTACAGCGATGCAACAGCAATTAAGAACCCTGCTTAAAAGATACACCCATATCTTCTGGTCTTCGCTTCTAAGTTTTCAAACACTTTAGAAGAAAAAAAGTTCACAACATCCTTGTGGTATTTTGACCAAACAATGTCCCAGCTGTCTTGAGTAAACTTGTGTAAAAGTTAAATATGAATGTCTGCAAATCCATAAAACTACATAAATGTATCCACTAACCATTGAGAAACATCTAGGTGCATTCTAAAGGTTGCAACCTTTCCCTGAGTTATTGCCTAAGTGTTTTGTTATTGCCTGAGTATCTATCTTCTTTAAAATGTCTTCTAAAGGGAGGCCGGGAGCAGCAGTAGCATTTAAAAGAGAACTCCGGTGCAAAATGAGCCGCTTATTAAACTGTCTGTACACTTACAAAGTTAGTTCTCAATGCTTCATTTTGCATGTAGGGATCCTCATTATTACTTACTCATACATTACTGTGGGGCTATTTTGAGCCTTGTTAGTGGTATTAACTAGTGATTTCTTTTTACTTACTAAATGCCCCCATACACTAGCGTTATACGCTAAACAGTTTTTAGAGATAAAAATCTTTACATTTGATTGTCATGAAAACAAATCTCAGAGAACGGTCGACTAGATACCAATGTGTTATTAGACCAAAGGTTCATTTTGCACCGGAGTTCTCCTTTAAAGGGACAGACAAAAACTGCGCTTTTTTGTTCACAACCAAAAAGGGGCAAATTTGACACGCTATAATAAATTATCTGGGGTTGTTCTGGTGACACCATAGATTTATATTACATCTTGTGAAAAGGGACATAATGCGTCACCTTTAAAACTATATAAAACTTTAACTGAATCTAATTGTTTTTAATGGCTCTTTGGTTGCGAAAAATTTGCCCAAATGATCACAGGTAGGTGACGGTAAAGTTCTCATGACAGTATGAAGGTTAATGTGACGTGTTGTGGTAAAAAGTTGTCTTCTCTTTACTAAAAGTCACCAAGTCACAAAGTTCCAGATGCCAAAACTTTTGTCGAGACAACAAAGCTGAGATGCCTGCACTCAGAACATCTGACAATCTCACTCGTAGCCCATCTTCCTTCGCCTGCCCCAATTAATTTCCTATCTTTCTGGCTTCTTTTTAATTGTGGCGTGCCACCAGCTGGTCTGTTTTTAAAAAGAAACATTAATCAAGAGAACATTGAAAGCCATGCAAATCAAAAGATCAGTTTATTATCATTGTCCAGGACAGGTGCAAGTTTGTACTCTGACCCATAGTTGTGGTTCATAGTGACTGAATCCAAAAGCCTCCTGGTTGTAATTACATAGTACCCAGACTTTTCTAAAAACATATCTTAATGTTTAATAAAACTACTCTATACATGTTTTATACTTTTTATATTTGTTATTTTTAAACGCTGTGTCTTGTTATATTTTTAGCTGAATGCTTCAATGCCAAGGTAAATTCTTTGTATGTGCAAGCACACTTGGCAATAAAGCTCTTTCTGGTCATGATTTTTTGTATATTTTGTGATTGTGGATATGTTATTTCTTTATTAGCCTACCTGAGCCTTGCATGACTCCCCCTAAAAATGCCGGTTTAAATTTGAGTTCGATGTTCCAAACATTTCTATAGCGGCACAGCACCTTAACACACACAATTAATACAAACATGAAAACATATGAAAACAAGCCGCGTGGATTTCAATTAACGAACGTTGGGTGAAAACATCATGTAACGTTACCTCAAATGCCAGCCAGGAATACGGAGAAACGACATCATAAAACAACTCGACGACTTTTCTGGGACTGGACATCTGTAACGAAGAAGGATATTGCATCACATACACTAAAAAGTACAAAAGTCATTTACATGCATGCGTAGTTCATTACCCTTGGCGTCAGACTCACTGCTGTACTTGAAAAGAAACTGTCAAAGTTCAACACAAACAAATAATAACGTTAACGTTAGACCCACTGTGTATAGCAGAATACCGCTCTTTTGCTGCTACAGTCTAGCAACTATTGTTTAAATTCTACAACAAATTGTATTTGTATAAATTGTGAAGGTCATTCAGTCTTGTGTTGGGGTAATGTTGGGCGATTTCGCTTTTAATACTGGTTCATGAAGCTTCGAAACATTTTTGAATCTTATGTTTCGAATCAGTGGTTCGGAGTTTGAATCAAACAAAGAATCAAATTAACTCATGAAATCGCATGATTTATGAGTTTACAGAGATCGCCCCAGCGGTAAACCATTGAACAAGTGTGATCTGATCTCTGATCAGATGTATTCATTTGTTCACGTTAAACATTAGTATAATTAAAAGGTAGTACTACTAGTTAGTCTCTTATTGGCATGTGATTAGTTGAGCAATCCATGATGCAACAAACAAAACAACGCCTTGAAAATTGATAAAAGACACTTGATATTTAATCTTATTAGATGATTAGTTCGTTGCATTTGATAGATTTTTTTTTTACATTTCCACTATTCTGACCAGCAGGGTTGACCAACACTAGCGTGTTGTTTCGAACGCTTCGAAATAGTGAATCATTTTGTGAAGCAATTGGTTCACTTGATTCGAAGCTTTTAAAGCTTCGTTTATCCCATGACATCTTACGAGTCGTGAGCAGCACGTAAATTTCAGAATTTATATAGATTTTTTTTTAGACTTGCTGAAGTAAAAAGTAAATGCAATAAAAATAACTGGCTTCTGCCTTCTGATTAAAAAAACTAATCACCAGTTTTTTTCCACGATAAAGTTTCTATTTAAAACAATTATCTATATATTTTTTTTATTTTTTATATATATTTGTATTATAATAACATAATATAAGAACAGCACAGTGCTGATATTGAACTAATGCAGTTACAATTTAAGTAAATATTTCAAATGTCTCCGTAGTGCTTGAGCTCCTACATGATGCTCCGCCCCCTAGCAGTCAAAAGTGAAGGTACCCGTCTGTTAAAGTGGTTGCCAGATTATTATTTTTTTTCAGTTATTACATTATGTTATGTTAGAAAAAATAAATTAGTTTTATATTTGTAAACATCATAAATTTCAATGGCAAAAATGTACAGAAAATTGTGAACCTGCATTTTTTTATGATATTCTAATGTATATTAAAACAGTTATTTGCTCTTGCAATTGTTGTGAACATCTGGCAACTCGAATGCGACGCTTGCAGGGCACATATGCGGTAGTAGGAAGTGGTGAATGAGGAGAGATCCCGTCTATGGAGAGAACAGGGTAGTGTTTGGGCGGTTAAAGGGGACTTTGGGAAATACAATATCAGAATAACTAGTATTTGATAGCACACCTTCATACCTCACTGCTGTAAGTATTGCTGTGGTCATTTAAGAATTATAGGTGGTATGTTTATCCAGTCTCATTGTGCCAAAGGCTTCCGTAAGGCCAGTCTAGATGCATCCCATATGATTGAAATCACTTTTCAAATGTCAGTTTTCTAAAAATTATTTTGTATAGTTTTTATATAGTGTTGGATGACTATAGTATCAGGAAGTGACTGTATGCTTTTACAGACCTGCCTTCTCCTGCCATGACAAATTGGAAATGTTTGGCTCAATAAAATCATTAATTAAATCTAAGAAAAGATTAAATATGCTCAGTGATGAGATAGTCTAAGATGTGATAGCGTGCTAAATGTTGGGAGTTTTCTAAACTGATTAACCCAAACATTATTTTAATGTTCAATAACATAATATAACATAATAAACAGTATGATAATTGTAATGCTTTGTTATTGGTGTAAACAGAAAGATGTCACCAGATGAATTAGTCTATCTAGGAATCCTTGGTGCATCAATACCTGTTGGATTCCTCTTCCGCTATCTAAGTAAGTCTGACTATGTCTTCTTTAAGTTAGAGCCCACATATTAAAATGTGTTAATAATAGGGTGAATAAAGGTAAAGTGGTATAATTTGTTGTTGATCTTGTTTTACAATTCGTTTAGAATGTGTGAGTGGCTGAGCCAATGTTGATTTGTGGTATGAAGTACACAATATTAAATAATAAAATTGAAGTCTCACTTCAAAAACACATAGATTCAATTAACACGTTTAGACCCCACATAAAACACACCATAGATCAGTCTTTAAAGCATTGTGGGGGTAGGGGGTGATTTTATCATGATTTTAACAACTCTTGATCACTTTTGTGTGCATTATTTACCAGGCCCTCCAGTCAAGCAGGGGGCGGCATTGCTCTTGGGTTTGATCATCTCCATTGCTACCTGTGGGATCCACACTCTACACTCTTTCTTTACAGTTTTAGGAACATGGCTGATTATAAAGATCAGTTGGAGGTAAGTGTGATATGTAGCTCTCTCTGGAATTTTACATTAGATTCCTAGCTATTTCCCTGTGCTCTTATTTTTTTATTTAGAAGTGCCCCTGCTCTGTCTTTGGGTTGGACGTTTCTGTACCTTCTCTTTTTCCGTCTGGTCACCTGGTTTGGCCTCCCTCAGCCAACACCTTTTGCCAATGCCATTCAGCTTCTTTTAACATTGAAGGTAAAACACAATAAAATTAGACACATTTTCCATGTTTTAATTTCTTGATGTAATTATTGAATGAGTTTTGTTTTGATTACACAGATGGTCAGTTTAGCTAATGAGGTTCAAATGTATTACTTGGAGAAGAAAAAGGAAAAGAGCACCTTCACCAAGTCCCAGGTTGTTGGAGGACTTTCCCATGAGCCTTCCCTCTATGAAATTATATCATATAGCTACTGCTATGTGGGCATAATGACAGGTATTTTGCATATTGACTGGAATTTCCTCGAATGCTATTGAGTCTGTTCAAACGTTCGTTGCTGTATGTTTGGCATGTATGCTAACTTGTCTTTCTCTGTTTCTCTCTGCTACTAGTTCAGTAATGTGTGAGTCCAATTTCTTTTTTTATAACTGATTGTGTTATTATTGCTCCTCTTTTACCATGATTTGTCCTCCCAAACCATACATCCATCCATATGCTTAATTTTGTCATCCCCTGTGGCACATTGATATGGCTCACTATTGCATTTGATTCCATACCTATGCTCCATTCTATCTCAATATCATATGTCATCTTTGCCCATCTACGCCATGTCTCCATTGATGACTCTTACCATGCTCTCCTCACATTCCTTCATTTTCCATTCTTTGTCCCACCCACTCTTGCCGGTGTCCCCCAGGTCCCTTCTTCCGCTATCAGACGTATGCAGACTGGTTGCAGCAGTCCAGTCCCCTGTCGCTGCCGGGTAAAGAGCCCTGCCTGCAGAGGCTGAAGATGGTGCCCGTTTACGGAGTTCTCTTTATGGTTGTCAACTCTGTCTTTCCTTTGTCCTATGTCCGTACTGAAGAATTCCTGGAGCACAACTATTTTTACAGGTTCGTTATTTTTCTGGATTAAAGGGACAATCCAGACTGAATCTAAAAGTAAAGTCCAAAGGGCACATTTAAATCACACTTTATCACAAGTTTTTGTTTTTACCATATAAAGATTCATAGTGGTTATGTTTCAGATTTTTCTACATGGTGGCAATATTCTTTGTATTCCGGATGCGTTTCTACTCCGCATGGTGTGGGGCAGAGGCAGGTTGCATCAGCGCAGGTCTTGGCTGTTATCCCCTGGGGGCACTGTCCAAACCTGGGGGAGGACCAACGGTGAAATATAGGTAGCTTTATTTCCTGATAGCTTTTTAATGTGCTTTTACAGTTTGACTTTAACTTGTAAATATGATGACTTGAACTTTGAGGATTTTATCTAATAAGTAAGTAATAAATAAGGTATATCAGGGAAAACATGGCATGTTCTATAAAAGGATATGATAGAACATTAATTATCCATGAACAGAAATGTACATATTACAGTAATAGACTTGAAGCGGGATCCAGTAAAGTACAGCATCAGAGGTCAGCAGGGTTACAGTTAAGCAATATTAAACTGTACATGTCAAGACAATCATGTTACATTGGAATAGGAGAATTTTCAGAAGCAATTAAACACATTGCTTATCCATTACAAAAGCTTAAAATTGATCACACAAATACAGTGCAGACATAATGTTGTAAATAATAATTGTGGCTTTTTAAAGAAATCAACCATCAGTCCTTTTTTTTAATCTCATGTTATGTTTGCTAATCCAAGTTAATCATTTTAAAAAGCTAATTTATCATTAGAAATCCCTTTTGGACAGCTGAAAACTGTTTCACTGAAAAAGGAAGCAATAAAAGTGGCCTTCTTTAGATTAGTTGAGTCTGCATCAGGAGTTATGGGTTTGATTACAGGCTCAACATGACCAGAAACAAAGACTGTTCTTTGGAAACGCGTCAATTTTTGTGCTGAGAAATGAAGGCTATTTAATGTTAGATACTGAACTACTTCCTTCATAGAACAGCACAGACTGCTTCTAACCAGAATAGAAAGAGGAGGGGGAGGCACTGGTGCCCATATGCGCAAGAGGACAAATACCTTGGAGTGTCTTGTTTAAAAACAAGACTGTTTCTAGTTTAGAAACAGACTCCTCACAGGTTCTCAAATGACAGCTTCAGTAAATAGTACCTTCTTATCACCAGTGTCATCAACAGTGAAGAGGCAACTCTGGGATTCTGGGCTTCTAGGCAGAGTAGCAAACAAAAAGCCATACCTCAGGCTGGTCAATAAAAAGAAAAGATTAAGATGGATGGGTAAAAGAGCATAGACTGGACAGAGGAAGACTGGAGATTTCAAGTTTCAGGTTTTTTGGGTCAAGCAGAAGTACTTTTGTGAGATGCAGAACAATGGAAAAGATGCAAGATGATCTGTCAACCATAGTGGAGGCAGTGTGATGGTCTGAGTGTGATTTGTGGTGGTACAATGGAACATTGACAATAGATTTAATATAATCTTAAATTGTCCATTTAAGTATGGTAAAACAGACCCTGAAGAACGAAGTCTATCACTACATTTTGCAACGCCATGCATTCCATACCCTGCGGACAGCTCTTGATTTGGGCCTATTACGTCCTACAACAGGATAATGACTCAAAACAGACACACCTCCAAACTATGCCAGATTTTTTTAGGGAAGAAGCAGTCTGTGGGCAGCACAGTCTCCGGATCTGCACCCTATCGAGCTCTTATGGGACCAGCATGACCGTATGGTACGGAGGAAGTGTCCATCAAGCCAATCCATCTTGTGGGAGATGCTTCTGGAAGCATGGGGTTTAATTTCGTCAGATTACCTTTAAAAAATTGACAGCTAGAATGCCATCTGTAAGGCTGTAAATGCGAAATGTGGCTTTTTTTGACGAAGGCAAAGTTTGTTTACAGGAAATTACAATCTCATCTGAGGTTTAATCATGTGGTTGATGATGTTGTGTTTCAGTCCTGATCCAGAGACAGCTGTGGAGTATGACTTCAAAACTATCCAGAACATTGACTGTTATAATACAGATTTCTGCGTCAAGGTTCGGCATGGCATGCGCTACTGGAACATGACGGTGCAGTGGTGGCTTCACCACTATATCTACCCCAATGCCCCTTTCAGAGCGTACGCTCTCAGGTACGAGCATGTGCATTTGACCTTTCAAATGCACTGTGGTGAAAAGGCTCTGTTATTGACCTACATAATCTTTGTTTTGTCTTTTTTCTTACGTTGTGGCAGGGCTGGATGGACAATGTTAATCAGTGCTTACTGGCATGGCCTCCATGCTGGTTACTACCTCTCTTTTCTCACCATCCCACTGTGTATCGCGGCAGAATCGGCCATGGAGGCTTCTGTCAGAGCCCGTCTGGGGCCGAAGGGCCAGTACATCTTTGACTGGATCCACTGGTTCCTCAAGATGAGGGCTTATGACTACATGTGCATGGGATTTGTGCTCCTGAAGGCCAGCGACACAGTCAACTACTGGAGCTCCATATACTTCATAATTCATATCATCGCCATTGTTTGCATAGGAGTAGGACAAATGATGAAAGGGGGGAAAAAGAGAGATAGGAGGGAAGGAGCTGAAGGAGAGAAACAGGATGTGGTAAGGGAGAAGACTGAGTGAAACAAATGTGATGATTGTGATGATAACTGGAGAAGTGTGTTTACTCACACACAAAAAAAACATTTCCCAACATGCACTGTAATAGCCATCAACTGGCATTTAACGGATTTTGTTTTTAAAAAGCAACACGGGCAGAAGCGTAATTTGTGCCCATAACCCATAATTCATCCTAACCAGGTCAGTATTGTATTTATATTAATAGTTTATATAAAGAGTTTTTCTGTTAATCAGTGGCCATGGGACCTGAATTCAGCTACCACACAGAGGACTTATAACTGAATCCATCCATCCATAAACACACACACACACCAACGCCGATGAATGTTAGACCCCAGCCCAATCACTACATTGAGTGCAAATTTGTGGAGATTTACACTCTGTAATAGTGTCAGTAAGGTCACACAACCTTTGCTTTGTGATAACAAAGTTGTATATATGGGATATTAAAAGTTGGTCTGTCTTGTTTTTCATCCATTCTGAGTATGTATCACTATTATTTTTATTATTCTACAAAGAATGTGAAAGTATTTGGAAACTTTCTTTTTCTCACATTTTCAGAAAGTAGGAGTGAATGTTTTTGTTATTTTGTTCATTTGCTCTTTAGTTTGATGCCATATGATCCCTAATGTTAAGTGTTGCTAAACATGTATCAACAAAGTAAAATGTTAATACTTAGAGCAATTAAAGTCTTGGTTGAGTGTAAGTATGAAAGATATTTTCAAAAGATCAGATGTAAATTCTTTCCTACAAAATGTAATTATTATATAAAACAATAATATTCCAAAATATTCTGATTTTTGTTTTGTTCTCGTACACTGTAGGATAGTGCTGGTGTTTAGTGTATCCATCATTTCCAATTGTATGCTGGTTCCTGTAATATCTACCTGCTATATTTTACTTCTAATGTTTACCTTTTAAGCAATATTTAACACTGGATGTACCACTCATATCCTTTCAGGTTTTGTTTGAAAAATCAGTGTTTTCAATAAAATAAGTGATTTTTATCCCTGCCAAACTTCCTTCTCCTGATGTATTTTCGGTGTTTGGATACAAAGTATCTCACAAAAGTGAGTACACCCCTCACATTTCAGCAAACATTTAGTATACTCAAGGAACAACATTATTGAAATGAAACTTGAATATATTTTAGAATTGTCAATGCGCTGCTTGTAGAGCAGTGTTACTGTCAGTGTTGTGCCTAAACACGTTCAATGAACGATAGTTTATGAACGCGTTCATATTTTGGGCGAACGTGAACTGAACGTAGCCTACTGCTATTACTGCCTGATGAACGTTACTGTGAATGCGTTCATTCTGTTGTCTGTACATTATAAAAAAAAAATACAAAGGTTTATGAAACTCCAAAACTAACACCCCAAATGAAACGAAAACAAGGGCAGAAACAGTGCCATGTTAGGGCTGATAAGGAGATTTTACGACCTCCAAAAGGAATGTGGCCACATGCGTAAGAGAGACACAATGGAAGACAGAACCCTCTTTGAAACAGACTTTCCTGCATTAATCACAGATTAACTGATATACATAGACAGTTTCAAGGGTGTGCACATTTTTTTAAAAGGGTCTCTTATTATGCTTACCAACGTATATTTATTTGATTAAAAAAAAATTTTTTAAAGGAAATATTTAAATATTATAATATTTAAAAGAAATATTTTTTTAGGATTCTTTAATGAAAATTCAAAAGAACAGCACCTATTTAAATTAGAAATGTTTTATGGCACTATTGTGTCTGTCTGTTTTGATCAATTTTAATGTTCTGGATAAAAGTATAATTTCTTTAGGCTAAATAAATAAATGACTGACATTAAACCTTAAATAAGGCTATACCAATAGTTGGAATTATTTTGCCCATTTTAGTGAATGTTTCATAAGTTGCAGTGCATTTTTGTTTTATTTTGTGGTTCCGTGTAATGTTGTGTAGGTTTAGTGATTTGCGATTTGCTGTTGTTGATGCGAAAAAAGGTTATGCCCCTCGTCTCCATGACAACATAATTAACGGGCAATAAACCACAGGAATATGTTTAAGGCCCAAAACAAGACTTATTTTTCAACATATAAACTTTATTTTACAATTATAAGTCAAATCAGCCAATTTAGTCATTGCTACGCAGTCCAAACGGAATTTTCTGATTGAGGACTGAGTTGTCTTATGGTAACGGGATCTGTCAAAGTTGCCTTTGTCTCTTTGTCACAGTAGTCTCATAGCGTGTGAAGCTGGTTCAGCTGGCAATAAGTACAAGGAAGTGTTTCCAAAGTTTATTTTTATGAGATGCAAAGTCCAGTGTGTCTGAAGACAGACAGTGTTCTCCGCAGTGGGAATTGGCCAAACTAGCTATATGCATATGACAACTGCATTTTTGGATTGTGTTGGTCTTCGTGTTTGTTTTATGTTGATAATAACTGATTTCTGATGGAGCTGAGAAATTTCAACAATCAAGTCCATCCAACTCCAGGTAAGAGAGCTATGTGTAACTGAGAGCTAATATGTAAGTTGCTTAAGGGATAGAGTTAAATTTACTATAGCAACTAGTTTCCCGAGTACAAGAAAGAGTGAAAGACCTACAAAAAACAAACAAACAAAAAACAGTAACGTTAGGCTAAAACAGTAAAAACAGTAACAGCCTAACTTAAGCACAATTTATTCGTATGTACTTTTTTATAACTAAATGTATTTGGCACGCTATTATTGACTTAAATGGCTCTATTTTAACGATCTGAAACGCAATCACGCGCGAAGCTCAAAGTAACTTTGTCGGCAGGTCGCTGGTGCTATTCTATGGTGGGATAAATGACTTGTGCCCGACGCAAGTTTGGTTGGTCTGAAATAGCTTCATTATTCATAGGTGTGGTTTGGGCATGAAATAAACCAATCAGAGTGTCATCCAACATACCCTGTGCAGGTGCGCTTGGCGAATTGTTATTGTTATGGCGGATTTACCAGGCGCGCGCCAGGAGCGTGCACAGCCGAGGAGACTGACGTTCTTGTCAGGGCAGTGAAAGACAGAGAAATGACGTTGTATGGGGATGGTTTTTTCCCCTGGTTCTTGACGAACAAACTAATTTGTCAGATGTCCTTATACATATGTGTCTTGCCACTAATTGTGCAAACAGGTCTGATCCGTCAATTTTGGGTAAATGTGTAAACTAGATCTAGGCCTACATCTTCATGGATGCATACCACAATGGTTTCCCTCAAGTGTTAATATTTTTCTTTGTTATAAATTAATCAATGATTTTCAAAAATAAAAACTGCTACATCTGCGTTGAAGAGAGAATCTAAGTGTATTGTTGTGCACCTGCTAAATTATGGCCAAGCATGTGCGCCTAAAATAGCATTATGAACAACGCGCCACTGACTTAAGTTTAGACTTTAGTTTTTTCCGGTCAGTTGCGGAACTGTTTTCTGGAACTGAAAAATAGCACTAGGGAATGTTTGCGCTGAAACACGCCTCCTTTTTGCGCCGACCCGCCCAGCAAGTTCATTTCCTAATTTACCGACGTGCGTCTGCGGAGGGAAAAGCCGGTTTGCGTGGGTACAAAATAGGAATGATATGCGTCAGTCTAAAAAATCATTTGCGCCGGGTGCAAGATAGGGCCCAAAGTCTTAAATTGGAACAACTAATTATGAACTAAGTGCATTTTTTAGTCCAAAAGAAGTGGAAATATTCCAAGTAGGCCTGTAGGCCTACTTACATTTAAGTTTTCAAAATATGCAGAATTCACTAAGCATAAACTTAAAATATATTTAGGTACAATTGAAATTCAATATGTGTACACTTTAAGAGTGTTGATATACAAGTAATCTTTATAAATATGGCATAGCTTAAGAATTTGCCTTGTACTGAAACCCCTCAGTTCTCACAAATTCGGAGAACATCAGTGAGACAATGGGAACGGATGCATATGGAATACTATACGGACTGGATTTGAACCCAGGTCGCTGTCACGCAAGCGCAAGTCATGGAGCCACCATAATTTTAGTAATTTGTGTAATAATTCATAATATTCGGACAGTCCAAAGGGTCCATATTTCAAAGTGCAACTGGCCATTCAAGTACATAAGGAAAATAGTATTGCAGTAGGTGCATTCTGATCTGGTAGGCCTACATGAATTTCTTTCACCATTTCAATTACATATGTTTACTTCTGTAACTACTTTCTAGCCTGTATGTAAAGCTGCTTTGCAACCATGCAAATTGGGAAAAGTGCTATAGATGTAAATTTGAATTGAATTAAGCAATAGACTTCCTGATATTCAAAGTGTAGACAAATTATTTCTCAAAACACATTTCCTGTAAACTTTTATCTAGGCTATTCTATTTTTATACTCAACAAATAGAACTCAATTACAGTTTATTGTATTGTCAATTTAATCATAATAGGTCAAGAGAGGATTCAACAACAATACATTGCTGATGCATTAATTAAATATTTAACAAATTAAATCATTTTATCTGCAAATTGCTCATTGTTACATTTGCACTGTATAGGAAAACTTTGTGTATGGAAATTTTGCCCTAACAGCACATGTTAACAAAAACAAACTAGATGTTTCAGTTCATATCTCATATTTTCTTTGGTTTGCACAAAAATAGAGTCTCATCTAAAAAAAAAAACATTACTTGACATCGTCTAAAGATAATTTCATCATTCTCAGATTTGACATACATGGTGAGACTTGTGTCTTTAGCTACAATTAATTTATAGACTCTACTTGTATCCTTCTGACAAATGTGCCTAATCGCCTAATCTGCACTACAGATTCCCAATAGTGTGCACTCAAGTTTGGTTGTTTAGCCAAAGTAGGAAAACTGATTGTTGATGAGTGTGATGACATTGGCTCTGTTCCAAACACAGATCAATATTGGTCTGACATGTCAACTCAAGGTTTAGCTTTGGCAGTTAGTTTCTAGTTAAGAATTAATCTAAAAGGATATTAACTATTAACTATTAACTGGTAATTCTACCAATGGAGACATGAATATATATTGAAAGTGGGTCATATATGTAGTAGAATAGTATTATAAATTTCTAATTTGGGTCCTTGGCCGATAAAAGGCAGAAAATGACTTTTTAGTGCTTGTGGATTGTTGTCTACTAATTAATCCCCTCACTATCAGACGTTCCGGGAGTCTCCCGCATATGGATACCGGCTCCCTGATGCCCGCAAATTAGTTAAAATCTCCCGGAATCTAGAGCAAGTGAGCAAGAGAGTGTGTGTGTGTGTGTGTGTGTGTGTGTGTGTGTGTGTGTGTGTAAATAATCATAATATTTACTAACTACTTTTTTAGATTGTATTTGGTGAGATAACTAATCAGTTAATTAGCTTTTTACAGTTGCTTTTTTATGTTCTTTATTTTACAATGACTAATGATGTATGTCCTTAGTTTTAACCATGTTCAGTGTGAAGTCTATGATGTAAAGTCTGTTATTTTACAAAATAGGAGAAGGAGAAGTGGGCAGGGACATATGGGTCATGGCTATATATAGAAATGTGGTGCATAGAATATTTTCAGAGCTGATGTGAAAATGCTGCTCCAGTTTGTTCACAGTCTCCTACTGTGCCTTATACTGTAATGTCTCATAGTACAGTTAAACTTCAGTATTATAGCTTACTTGCCATATATAATTTACCAACTTTTGAAATTGTTATTGCACTAAATACTTCTGTTTTCTCTGAACACCAAAAGACTACCCTAGTCCTTATGGTTCCCAGCATTCATTGAGGTTACGGACATTTCCAGCCGAAGAGACCACCAGTGCGGTTCAGTTTGATTGGGCCTCCCCCCCTGAAGATGCTGAAGACACTAATGAACCTCGAAATCTCCGCGAGCTGCCGCTGAACATGGGCCTGAAGAGAGCAGTATGGTATAAATGCATTATCAAAATTACATGTACCGGGGTCAACAAATTACATTTTTACATCACCAAAATTTCAGCTGTACGCTTAACACTAGCTCCCACAAGTTTCAAACAGAATTATCAATTGAAACT